CACCGCCCCCCCCAGCTCCACCCGCGCCCTTGCCTCCCTTGCCCTTGCTGGAGCGACGTCTCCCACTAGGGGCAGACGCCGCGCCGACCGACTCAAGACCAAGCAGGTCGGCAGCAGCAGCAGAGGCAACAGAGGGCAGCAAGGGGGAAGGAGAGCACCCCTCAAAGATGGGGGTGCGAGGGTCACCACGAGAAGCACCTACAGCGACTATGCTCTTCTCCGCTGAAAGGAGGGCCTTCTCGAGGAGGTCGACGGTGAGAGTGGTGGGACAGACTGCGAGAAAGTGGTCCCTGACGACGCGAAGGGAGTCAGGGAGGCGCGCGACTACGTAGTAGAGAGCGATGTACATGGGAGGCGGGTTCCTAGCGCAGAACTCAGCAGGAAGGGCGGCGCGGTAGCGAGTGTCACTAGTGCGGAGGTGCGTAATGAGGTCAGCGACAGTGGGAAAGGCAGAGAGGTCAGGAAAGAGGTAGGGAAGCATGAGACGGCTCAGTGCAGCAGTGGCAGGGGAGGAGTAGCGCGCAACTACAGCGTCGTACAAGGTCTGAGCACTCTTGTACTGACTAAAGTGCGCACGCTCAGAGGTAGGGAGGTGGCGACGCACAGCAAGACGTGCAGCAGCATCGCGGGTGGCCCACTTAGAGCGGACAGCGGGATCAGCATCAGCAGCAGGAGCAGGAGAGGCGCCAGAGGTGAGGTCAAAGAGAGAAAGGTCATCAGCCCTGTCGCACTGTAAGAACAGCTGCAGGTCGTCTAGCCAGACCTCAAAATCAATGGCGCGACCCTCAGCGTCAAAAGCTAGGACACTAGGGGTAGCCATGACGACGACTGTGAAGCAGTGCAAGCAGTAGGGGGGAGAGCACGCAGTGACAGTGAGACTGTGCTCACCAGGCAGGGCAGGTCGCGCAGCTCGACAGAAAAGCAGAACGGCGACCGGGCGGCTCGGGTGTACAGCGGATCGGCTCCCGGGTGGCTCGACGGCAGGGCGGCTCGGGTGCAGGGCGGCTCGGCTCCCGGGCGGCTCGGCTGCAGGGCGGCTCGGGTGCAGGGCGGCTCGGCTCCCGGGCGGCTCGGCTGCAGGGCGGCTCGGGTCCCGGGCTGCTCGGCGACAGGCGGCTCGGGTCGCGTAGAAGTGAGACGGGGCGGGGCCGCGTCAGGGCCGGCGGTAGGGCCGCGTAGGAGCCGGGGCTGGGCCGCGAAGGAGCCGGGGCGGGGCCGTGATAGGAGCCGGGGCAGGGCCGAGTAGGAGGCCGGCGGTGGGGCCGCTTAAGGGGCCGGCTACGGGGCCGAGTAGGAGCCAGCTGCGGGGCCGCGTGAGAGCCGGCGCGGGGCCGCGTAGGAGCCGGCGGCGTGGCCGCGTCAGGGCCGCGTAAGGGGGGGGGGGGCCGGCGCGGGGCCGCGTAAGAGCCGCGTAGGAGCCGGCGCGGAGCCGCGTAGAGGCCGGGGACGGGCCGCGTAAGGAGCCGGCGCGGGGCTGCGTAGGAGCTGGCGGCGTGGCCGCGTAAGGGCCGCGTAAGGGCCGCGTAAGGGGCCGGCGCGGGGCCGTGTAAGGAGCCGGCGGCGTGGCCGCGTAAGGGCCTTGAAGGGCCGCGTAAGGGGCCGGCGCGGGGCCGCGTAAGGGCCGCGTAGGAGGCGACGCGGGGCCGCGTAAGGGCCGGGGCGGGGCCGCGTAAGGAGCAGGCGGCGGGGCCGCGTAAGGAGCAGGGCGGGGCCGCGACAGAGTGGGCGGCGAGGCCGCAAGGGAGAGGGCGACTCGAGGGGTCGCTAAAAAAAATCGCGCCTCGGGGGCGCGCTTCGGTGGGCCCAAAAAAAATTTCGGTCCTGGAGGGACCTAGCTCTATACCATGTGAAAATGAGTAAGCAGGAATGAAATGACTAAGTTAGAGTTGGGTACAAATACAACCCTAGAAAGCTGTACCCCATATGTGCTACCCCACTATAGCCTACAAACATGCATCAGCTATAATACTCTGACATCACCGTCGTCCACGGCTCCCCTCTTCCTAAAGAGCCTGCGACGGTTCAACAGGCTCTGGGGGGGGGAGCACAGAGAGAAATGGCGTGAAGCCATGGACAGAGAATTAAAAGCACTGGAGGAACACAACACCTGGAAGGTCGTCCCCGCAAGCGTGGCAAGGAACAAGACCATTCTCACCGGGAAGTGGGTCTTCCGCATCAAAACAAAAGCAGATGGTACAATTGAGAAGTTCAAGGCACGATGGGTCGTGCGAGGATTCGACCAGGAGCAAGGGCGAGACTTCACCGAGACATTCGCCCCAGTTAGTCGACATACCTCACTCCGAATTCTTCTCGCCGTCGCCGCCATGAAGAAGAAGAAGCTGCGACAAATTGATGTCGCCAACGCCTTCCTCTACGCACCTGTTGACGCCGACATCTTCGTCGAGCTCCCTCACGGTACCCACGGGGAACCCAATCAGGTCTGCCAACTGCTAAAATCTCTCTACGGAATCAAACAGGCCCCACGGCTGTGGCAACAGCACCTGCACACCCGCCTCATCCGCATCGGATTCCGCCAACTGCCTCACGACCAAGGCATGTACCGACTCACTAAAGGCGCCAACTACATCCTACTCATCGTTTACGTCGACGATCTCCTCTACATCGGCTCCACCGACGACGTCACCACCTGGTTCGAAGGGGAGCTGCAGAAGGACCTCACGCTCACGATTTCTTCTACCGTCACGCAGTATCTCGGACTCAACATCCGCGAAGAAGAAAACGCAATCTATCTAAGCGCCGAGAAATACGCCGACACGATCGCCAAGCGCTTCTCGCTCACCCCTACCGCTATCGCCACGCCATACCGCTACACGACAGGAAACGGCCAAGGAAACTCCACCCTACTAAAGAACGCCGGAATACGCGACTACCAGCGAAAACTGGGCTGCCTACTCTTCGCAGCCGTCACCTGTCGCCCAGACCTGTCCTACTCCGCTAGCCAGCTCGCTACCTACCTCAAGAGGCCTGAAGCAGATCACCTGCCAGAGCTCGATCGCGCATTACACTATCTCGTGAGCACACCAACGATCGGCATGACTTACTACAAGAACGAAGCTGCGTCAACGAAACTAATCGGTTATGTCGATGCCGACCATGCCGGCGATCCAGATAACAGGCGCTCTCGCACCGGCTACGTCTATCGTCTCGAGCCTATCGGACCTATCTCCTGGCAGTCGAGTAAGCAGGAGCTAATCGCTCTCTCTTCAGCTGAGGCAGAATATATCGCCCTCTGCTCAGCCACCAAGGAAGGACTCTACCTTCGCGAACTGCTGGAAGAAGCAAAGCTAGCTGAGTTACCCAGCTTCACCCTGCACTGCGACAACCAATCTGCAATTCGCATCGCCAACAAAAACGGATTCGCGAACAGAACGAAGCATATCGCTCTGCGATACTTCTTTGTGAAAGACGAGATCGAGAAAGGAAGACTCGAGTTATCCTACTGTCCCACGTCCGAGATGGCAGCCGAATATTTGACCAAGAAGCTCGGAAAACAGAAGTTCGAGTACTGCATGCTGCTGACTGGACAAAGCCACGTCACCATCAGCGACACTCCAGAAGCGAAGGGGAGTGTTGGGAACAATAAGTCTTAAAGCGCCTCTGTCGTGTCGAAGCTCATGACTCAAAGCGAAGCAGTCCAAATCGAAGCATCGCGAGTCAACCCTCGGAGGTTGAGGTAACCGCCTGGAGGTTACGCGAAGGTCAAAGGTCAGCGACCTTTGACTTGACCAATACAGCGCGACAGCAAGGACACACAACTGACTCGACATTGAGCAGTTGCCCGAGTCGCACTGTATCGAATCGCAACAGCAAAGACAGTTATCTTATCTATTCGTATTCCTTGTACCCTTTTATAAAGCCTTGTACTTGCTCGTTTTAATTAACTTACTTTGCCCTCACATACTAGCGCAAGGTGGTTCAAGACCTTTTATTCAACGCTTCCGCTATTACAATCCCACTGAGACTTTAACTCTACAAAGATCCTTAGGGCCTGTCAGCCCAACAGAGGGAAGATGGGCGCTGGAAATGGCTGTCCTGTGCGTTGTGCGAGAGAAAAAGGGGCAGGCGGGGGGGCTCGGGAACGACTATGCCTCTGCGCTGCGAGCAAGCGACTCCCTGCGACTGGCTCGTACATTGGTTCGGGGCGAGCTTGACACATCCCTCTGCGCTGTGACATGTCCTCGCCCCTGTGCGGCGGCAGAAATCGCCCTCGCGCGATTCTTTGATTTGGGACGCTGTAATGTTCTGATTCGATTGAAATTGCACGACTGAGATGTACAGTTTGGTGAATTTAAAACATATTTCTGTAATTGTCATATTATAAGCGCATGCGCTTATAATTCTGACTCAATTAGAAGCGCACCCCCCCAAAAAACACTGTTTTATTATAAGCGCACCTGCGCTTTTATCCGGGGCAATACAGTACAGATCATGCTCCCTCATAGAAATATGGTTGAATTGCTCACACTGAAAACAAAGAATAATACAATACACATGGCTATATACATTGCTTGCCAGGCAACAGCAGGAAAAGAGAGCAATCAATCCAAAGAATTCATCAGCTTGGCTGATTGGTGTGCCTCGGAATCATCTGAGGGTTAACCCTAGATGGAAACCAACACAGAAAAGCTCCAGCAGCTCGCATGGGTAGCACCAGAGATGCAAACATGGACCGCTCAAGTAGCAGCACTGGCAATAGCAGCAGCATGAGGGGGACGAGCTGAAGATGTGGACTGTGGCTAGGAAGATGGGAAAGCTGATGCATGCATCCACCAAGGCCGAGCACCGAAGGGCGAGCACCAAGGTGCTGCCCTGCTGGATGTTTCATGTAGTGAAAGTAGCGCTCCAAAGCCCCACGGGAAAAAAAAGGCAGCAGGAACCCTAAGGAAAAGCGAGAGTGACTACCACTGCCCTCGATGCACGAATGAAGGCAACCGGAAAGTGTTGATGATGCAGGAGTTGAAGTCACATCAGCAATGTTGTTAATCTGAGTCTTGCACATCTAAGTCTTGCACCATCCATGGGTGACCTGGAGTTGCGATCAAAATGCGACGTGGAAAAAACGGAACAAAGAAACAGGAATAAGAAAAAGGACAATAAGCAGCAGAGCCATGCCATGCCAAAGGAAGGACCTCAGCAAACCAAATGCTGCCAGGGATGCAAAAAAAAAAACAGACGTTGCAATGTGGCGAGAGGAAGCATTGCAACAGACGCAAGGTAAGTAGCGGGTACGCACGGAGGATGTCATGCGCCGAGGGCCGCTTGCTAACATCACGGCAGAGCATGAGCGTGAGTAGATCCTTGGCCTCTGGTGACAGCGACTGCAGAGGGGGAGACGCCAGGTCCAGAGGAGCAGATGCCACAGCCCTAAACACATCCATGATCGTAACTGCCATGTCATCACAGGGTTGGGGAGGGGGGGATGAGAAGTTTTAGGATGGTGAGTGAGGGGACACAGCGGGTGCTGTTGGTTACTCTGGCATACGAGGGGGCACAGGAACAGTGGAAAGTACATATTCCTGGCATGCAAATGTGCTCCTGCTCACCTCCATCGAAGGGCACTCTGCCAGCGAGCAGCAGGTGCAGCAGCACGCCCGCACTCCACACGTCTGCCTCGGGCCCGTACCCTCCTCCTCCGCGCACCCTCAGCACCTCAGGCGCCACAAAGCACGGACTTCCTGCCACCTCGTGCAACCGCTTGTCTGGAAGCGGATCATTGAAGGGGGGAGGAGAGGGGGGAGACACAGCAAGGAGACGACGATGCAGGTTGGAGGAAGTGATGAGATGTGGGATAGGCTCAAGAGCAGGATACACTGCGGAGCATCTGTTGCACCAAGAGTTTCTCCCCGGCGGATAGGGCCCAGCCAGATATGAAGCGCGCAGAAGGGTTGGAACTTGAAACTGCTTTCATTCCGATCACTTTAAGAGTGGAAAGGGCAGTACCTGGCGAATAGAAGGTGGCGAGTCCGAAGTCGATGGCGACGAGGGGAGACGCAGGGTCACTGGAGAGAAAGATGAAGTTGCAATCCTGCACGCACAACACAACCGGCAGCAGACGCAACAGGGAGAGAGAAACAGAAGGTTTGTTGCAGTGAGTGAGCCAAGTGCAGGGGCAACTGAAGGGCATTGGCATAAGCATTAGCCATAACAGATCACCATCAGCTTCCCCAGACCATAACCAATTCGAGCCCAAGTGTAACCCCTGGGACCCCTGCGACCCCTGCGACACATGCGACCCCAGCGACGCCTGCGACTCCGTGCAAGCCTACAGGAAGCGGTGTTGGTAGCACTGACCTTGACATCGCGATGCACGATGCCGCGGTCGTGGCAGTACGCCAGCACGCTCACCACCGATCGCATCACCCGCGCCGCCTCCCGCTCGCTCATGGCGCCCTGAGACAAGGAGGCGAGGAGAAAGTTTAGAGATTGCGTTATTTGTCAAAAGTCAAATGTGAAATGTGAATCGTAGAAAGCCAGTTGGTTCTTCGCCTCGCTCGAGGCATCAAAGCGCATGGAAGCATTTCTTATTCGTTGATCGAACGCCATTAAAAAGCTCTGTGATCCTTCACTGGAACGAAGGCTCAAAGACATGGAACGCACGAGACGCACACACACCTGCTGCGCGATGCGGTCCTTGAGGCTGGGCCCCTGGCAGAGCTGCATGACGATGTGCGTGTACTGCGCGTCGTCCACCACGTCGTACAGCCGCACCACGCTCGGATGTCCCTGCATCCGCGTCAGCACATCCACCTGCACCGCACCGCACCGCACCGAACCGAACCGCACAAACACGCGGAGAGCAGATGATGTGAGTCCGTCGGACATGAAGAAAAGAAGGGGAGGTGCAACATGGATGTTGTACAGACAAGACCTTAGAAAAGAAATGTTCGTATTGTACCTCTTTTTTTGCCGTCGCGGATCGATCCAGGTTGGGGGGGACTCCACCTCCCTCGCTGCTGCGGCTGCTGTTGCCGCTGCCTCGGCTGATGCTTCTGCTGTTATCCGTGCTGCTGCTGCTGCCGGTCGTTACGAGTCGTGGCAGGTCGTCTTTTGGGATCGACTTGCATGCGAATCGTTTCGCGACAGTCGCAAGACCACCAGCGATCAACCCCTGCGACGGCGACGGCGACGATGCTGGCGACGGAGAGGAAACGCCACTGCTGAGGCCAGCCGACAATGACTCAAATCCGAAAGGCGACGAGGGAGAGGATGCAAAGGATAAGGGAGACTCCGACGAGCACGGAAGCGGCGAGGAAAAGGAAACGGATTGCTCGGGTTGCTCTTTGAAGAACTTCTCCCTCGGCCAGCAAACACGCACAGCGCCGTGCTTCCCTGATCCCAGCAACTTCCCCACGTCGTATTTCGCCTCCAACGAGCCTTCCGCTTCCGTGGGTTTCGCCGCATCGGCCATCTTCGCATACGCACCCCTCATAAACAGCTTCTGCTCAATCTTGCGAGGTTTACTGTGAGACCTAGCCTTCACATTTCGGTCCTTTCCCGCCACATCAGCCGCACCCGACGCATCAGAACCGTGACCCGCTTCCGCGGTATTGGGAGCTTCGGTGTCGGCTTTCTTAGCCCGGCGATCCGCAGTCTTGCCATGGAGCTGCGCGAAGCGTGTGACGCGGTGGTGCGAGTATCTGGTCCGCGACGCGTCAATCCCAAGGTTGTCGTCGGTAGCCCATACAGGGGAGGCTGACGAGCAGGAGTTCCCCATCGCGGCAAACGGCGGTGGCAACGATGGCAATTGCTTATGGTAGGAGCGGTCGTGTCAGGAGGGTAAGACCAAACCAGCCGCCATATTGGGAGGTATGATGGCTATATCTAGAATCATCAAGACCGCCAATGGCGTTGTGCTGTGGCGAGCAGGGTGGGAAAATAGGCGAGGTCCCTACGAAATGAACCAAGGATAAGAGCTCCTGATTGCAAAGCACGATCAACTTAGTAACCTCACATGTCACGTGACTCACTTGCCTCGCACTTGACGTAACCCTGTCTGTGCTCCTGTCGCTGACGCTGACTCTCCTTCAGTCGAGTCACCTGGCTGTTGCTTGCTGGTTTCTCGCTTGGTTGGTGGGGTTGTCCGTAAGGGCGGCGCGCTCTCCGCCAGTTTCAGCGATTGCGCCATGCTGCACGGGGGAAATGCTTGGAGGAGCGCGCGCAAAGAGTGTATGCGCTGCGCTGGGGACAGGCAGGCACGTGAGTTGAACTGTGTCGGGTTTTATCCGATTTTTTTTCCCATAAACCAGAGTTATTACTGTATGCCGTTGACCATTTAAGGGTGGCTTTACACGATTAACAAATCACATGAACCGAGAAAACGTTTCAACGAAGAAAAGAGCAGAAGAAGGCCACTGGTAGCCACTGCCGTTCAAGGGAACCGCCTCAGCCCCCAAACCAATCACGCGCTGTTGCCTCCCCTCATCCGAGGTGTTTCTTTGAGCCTTCGCGGAGAAGTACAGCACGACCCCTGATGAGTCGGACTCTTGGACTGTCGGGGGAGGTTTCTGTTGTAGCGCAGCCCAGCCAAACTGCTGCTTTTCTTTGGGCACCCTTGCGCAAGCATTGTTTGCCACAGGTATCTGCCCAAAGCGCAAACGAGCTCCCCCGACAAAGAATATTCCTAGCCGTACCGTTCCCAAGTTGGGAATGGGCGGGAGAAGGGCTAACAGACCTCGAAAGTGCGCGCAGTCGTGGACGGATCTCAGCCTGACTAGGGATGACGCAGCACTTTACTCCGCGTCACCCACAGCTATCCACGTGTTGCGGACGTTGTCAGACAGGGAAAAGGTCGCCAGGTTCAGCGACCACAATGATTCCACCAAGCAACTAATGAGGTCTACCAATGGATAAGCTGCCTGGGATATGAGCTGTCGAAAGCCCAAACATGAGGTCCCGAGAAGAATCTGACCTGGACCAGGAATCGCTGCTGTGACTAATTGTTACGAGTGCAATTGAGTGAACGAACGAGAATTGCACTATCTAAGCAAGAATACAAATGAGCGAACATTATATAGCGAAACTATAGTGGTAACGGTAATGGTCGCGCGACGAGCCTGGGACTGAGGTTGGGAAAGTGTCGAAGCGTAGGCCCGGAGCGCGGGTTACCAGCCGAGCCGTGAGGTCGGGATGCGATGTGCGAAAAGGGCGGGATGATGAATGATGCGATGGTCGCGACTGGTAACGGTGCTGACTGAGGTGCTACAGTGATGTACGCGTTGAGCAGGGACGCGAAGTAAGGAAAAGGGAATTTCCTTACACTACCCCCCCTCCTAAGGAGTTCCTCCTTATAAAAGCGCGTGGATGTCTCAGAAATTGCGGCTACGCATGTAGTCGGTGACGACGGGGTGATTTTCAATTTTCTCCAGGGGAACCCAATTGTCCTCGGTGGGGGTATGATCTTTCCAGCGGATCAGAAACTCCACTTTTCGGGCTCCTCGAGGGTCGCGAACTCTGTGGCTCAAGATCTTGTCGGGGGTGATGACTGGTTCGGTTGGTGGTCGTGTCATGCTGGTGGTCGATGTCGTGGGAGTTCGCTGGTGGATGGCACGTAAGGGCGAAGTAAACTGACGTGGAACGAGGGGCTGACGTACCAGTCAGCAGGGAGGAGGAGGTGCGCGGTGACTGGCGTGACCATGTGACTGATTCGAAATGGCCCACAGTATCGAGGGCGGAGTTTTGGAGTGATGGGCAGGCGGAGCTTCTGAGTGTCGAGTAAAACGAGGTCGTCGGGCTGATAAGTAACGGGTCTGCGATGGCGATCGGCGTTGCGTTTAGCGATGATGTTTGATTTTTTTATTGCTTCTGCTGCCCTGGTCCGTGCTGCTTGCAGAATCTCGGCGAACTGTTGTGCTCGTGGGACGGGGTTGTCGGGATTCGGTGTCATGGGTACTGTTGGGTCCTGTCCGTAATTCAAGTAAAACGGCGACAGTTGCGTCGTGGCTGATGGTGCGTTATTGTATGCAGACTCGATGAGTGGCAGCTGCTGTTCCCACGTATTCGGATCGTAGCACGTGGCTCGAATCAGCTGTTCCATGGTCTGATTTGTCCGTTCCGTCTGTCCGTCGGTTTCGGGGTGATAGGATGAACTGAACTTTAAGCGTGTGTCGAAATGCTACCACAGGTTCCGCCAGAAGTTGCTTGTAAATTTCGTGTCCCTGTCGCTGATGATCGATGCGGGTATCCCGTGCAGTCGAACGACGGTGGTGATGAAGAGTCGGGCGGTTTCCTCGGCTGTGATTGATTTCCTGCATGCTGCAAAATGAGCCATCTTCGTTAGTCGATCGACGACGACCAGGATCGCGTCATTCCCACTCGCCCCAGCTGGTAACCCCGTGACGAAATCTATCGTCACCTGCTGCCAAGCACGCTCTGGGGGCGGGATGGGTTGTAATTGTCCCGCCGGCCGCTTCCTGCTTGACTTCATGAGCTGGCAAGTGGGACACGATGCCACGTGTCGTTGCACATCGGTCAACATTTCTGGCCAGTAGTAGTACCGCTGCAGCTGCTGCCGTGTTTTTTCTACCCCGAAATGTCCCGAGGTAACTCCGTCGTGTGCTTCCTGTAACAGTAGTTCCCGCAGTAGCGTGTATCCTGGTACCCAGATGCGGTCGGTTCCAGCTTTTACGTAATAGACTCCTTTTGCCGTTGCGAATTGCTGTGAGTTGCCTCCTGTAAAGAACGGGTCTGTTTGATATCCGTGGGTAAATAGGCCTGTCAGTAGCGGGCTGGTCTGGGCGAGTAGTATCGCGTGGATCTGGGCAGTGGGGCGGGTCAGTGCGTCGGCAATATTCGAGGCTCCTTTTTTGTATGTGACCGTATAGTGAAAATTCGACTCGAGGAAATCGAGCCATCGAATCTGTCGTGGGTTGAGGTGGGGCTGTGCGCGGAGGTACTGTAGAGATCGATGGTCTGTCCGTACTGTCACGTCTGCGCCGGTCAAGTAGCAGCGCCACACTTTGAATGCGTGCACGATCGCGAGCATTTCGCGGTCGTGTATCGGGTAATTTCGCTCAGGCGGATGTAGTTTGCGTGATTCGTAGGCGATGGGTTGGAGGCCGTCGCCGAAGTCCTGTAACAGTACAGCTCCGATGGCGATGTCACTTGCGTCGGTAACCACTTCGAAAGGGCGGTGGGGATCAGCGATGCGTAGAACGGGTGGTGAACAGAGAACGTTCTTCAGGGCAGAGAAGGCAGCATGCTCTTTCTCCCCCCACGTAAAAGCGACCCCCTTACGCAGTAAATCAGTGAGTGGGGCTGTTAAACGTGCCATGTCGGGCACGAACCGTCGAACGTAATTAACAAAACCTAAAAAACTCTGCAGTTCCGTGATGTTCGTCGGGGGGCGCCACGCTTTTACCGTATCCAGCTTCTTTGGGTCAATCTCAACCCCAGCCTCCGAAATGACGTGACCCAAAAACTCTAGTCTGTCCCGAAAAAACTCGCACTTGGAGCCCTTGGTGAGTAGCCGATGTTCCTCCAAAACTATAAAAACCGCTTCAAGATCCACTAAGTGCTGCTGCTTATCCCGGCTGTAAACTAGAATATCGTCCAGGTAAACTATCACGCATTTATCTAAAAGTGGTCTAAACGCCTCGTTCATGGTCATCTGAAATGTCGCAGGCGCGTTCGTCAGCCCGAATGGCATTACTGTATACTCGAATGACCCGTACCTAGTCCTAAATGCTGTTTTGGCGTAGTCCGATGGTTCGACCCGAATCTGATGGTAAGGACGTGTGAGATTTTTTATGGAGTTCGTAATCAGGGTCGAACTTTTGGTGGTTACCCTTTTCGCCAATGTTCGCTAACCGCCTCGCCGAAGTCGAAACAAATTCCCCGTTTGGGAAGTGCGAACCCTCATTTGTGAACTTGATACAGAAAAATTCGTGAACTTGCACAAACACAAAGATCCAAACGTGTGTGGTGTCAGGCACGTACGAGGTTTCAGCGAACCTCGCAACTCATTCGTGCGCCAATGAGATCACAACCAAGACACAGCGCATTGCTGAACTCGCTATGGCCACCACGTGGCACAATTCGTGCCACGATGGCTAGTCGTGCGCGCGTCTCTCCCAGCGCACACGATGGGGCCATGAAATCCCGCCAACATTCTTGACATCTTCGTCAAGAATGTTGCAGCTCCCCAACACCAACCCTGAAGCATTAAAAAAGAGGTCTAGCATGCTTTCACACCGTGAAACACAACATAAACGGCTCCCATCATGTCGACCTCCCAGAATGAAGCCAACAGAACCACCGCACCTACTACAGCTCCAGTTGCTTCTCCTGCACCTGCGCGCCGTCGTCGTGCCACAGTCGACAATACTAGTGCACGCAGGTTAGACGTCATAGTCCTCGACCAAGTGATTGCTCGTGTTCCCGCGCACAACACCCCCCTTAACGCCACCGACGACACGCTCTCATATTTCGACGCTGGTGAGGTCGACTGCGACGTCGAAGACACCGCAGACGAGGACACAGACCCTGCGACCACGTCCGACCGGCCTCGATGGGAACCGCACGAGGTGATGCAGCTGGCGTGGATCCGCCACGACTACGACGCGCAATGGCGCAGCCAAACCCGCCTGCAGGGGCAGAACCGTGATGTTATGGTTTACGAGAAGCTGCGCGAGCGCCACCCAGACTTCAGGCATAACTAGGCCGCTGTTAAGGCCAAGGTCTTCAGGATGGAACAGCAGTATCGACGGGTGGGGGATCTCCTGCTCAACGACTCGGGCAAGGGCAGGCCTCCGAAATTGCCCATTTTTTATGACATCTTCGAGCGCATATTGGGCGATCGCGCGAATGCACGTCCGCCCGCACTAGCAGGCACCCTCCCTGGAGCTAATGTGGTTAATCTGCCTTCAACTGCTCCTGCTGCCGGTAAGTGTTTTCATGTGCAATTTTCACTTCACACAAGCCCCGAACAGCCCACCTCGATTAAAGGTGTTAGCTACATGAGATACATAGCTATTAACCTTCTTGCCAAAACCCCATAACTTATATTGCTGCATTATCCCCCCCTCCATACCCCTCTTGCATGCTGTGCCATGCAAGCTCCAGCAGGAATAACCACGGACGTGCACACCGTGGCCTCGGCGTCGCCAAGTCGGCCGAGGGGTACTCCCCGCACGAACTCGCGCCAGCGCAGGCCTTCCACGTCGAGTGGTTCGCCGTCGAACGCGCCGCTCACCACGACCCCAGCATCGGACGACGAGCCCGCAAATGCCGCCGCGCCGGAGTCTCCTGTCCGCTCACACGTCCTCGGTGCGCGCACGGGAGCCTCGCTCCGCGGGCGTGGCGTCAACCGTCGGCCTGGGCCTGCGACTGCGAGTGAAATAGCAACAGCAAACGACCCCGCACATGCATTAGGGAGTGTGATGAATGCTAGTGATGCGTCGCTGTGCAAGGAAATAGCCGCTATCATTGCGACTTCGGTTAACAGTGCAATGGAGGCACAATTTGCGCAATTCATGGACCGTACCCAAGAGTTGGTTGTGACTGCTCAGGATGCCCCAGCCTCCAGGAAGCGTAGAGGCACGCCGCCATACGAGCGCGACGACGAGCAGGAGTGAAGCCCTCCTCCCGCGGCAGGAAGTGCGGCATTTCGGTGGCGGGGCCTTCCTGCCACCACGTGTTGCGCTCGCGCGGCGGGAGAAGCCGGGGGCGGGGGCCCATGAGCAGATCGATATTGTGCAGCACGATGCAGGCGGAGACGTACTGCGGGGCGCGGAAAACGTCACACTCCAGCCTGTCGTCCAGCATCCGCCAGCGCGACTTGAGCCTGCCATTCACCTGCTCGACGATCATTCGCGCGCGGCTCTGCTGCAGGTTCCACACGCGCTGCTCGTCCGGTAGTCCGCGGCCTGGCAGCGCCCTGTAGGGTGTGTGAATGTAGTCACGTAGACCATAGGCAGCGTCGGAGACGATGACGAAGTCGTAGAGGCCTCCTAGCTCGATCTTGTGGCGTGCCGGACTGTGCTGGAAGACTCTGGCGTCATTGACGCTTCTCGGCCATCCAACGTAGAAGTCATAGATGTAGCCACTGCAGTCACAAATTAGTTGTGCAATTATGCTGAATAAACCTTTGCGATTACGGAAATCCTCGCAATGTGGCCCTTGTCCTTGGCACTGAATATACGTGCCGTCCATGGCACCAACGACGCCTGGAATTCCCGCCTCCGCACGAAATTCCCGTTCGAAGACTTGACACATTTCAAAGTCAGGCCAAATGACCCACTTCTCAAGTAAGACCCTGTTGACGAAGTCAAGAAACTGTGTGAAGAGTTTCTGGGCATGTGAAAACGAATATCCAAAGTGCAGACCGAGTTGACGGAATGACAGACCATGACCGAGACGGTTTAGTCCCATAGCGACGAAAATGAAGGAGAACATGGGATGCGTTCGCGTAGAGGTGTTGGTTCGCTGGTATTGGCGCACGAGGTAAATGAATACACGCCGGTCCACGCGCATGTACTTGTAAAACTTATCCTCGGGCAGCAGGGTAATCAGCTTGAACCACCGCATGCGGGCATCCTGGCGATCCCCACGGACGAAGACGCGGGTCTGTCGCAGAATGAAGGCAGCGACAAGCCTGGGGATGGCCGCACCAGTGGCAGTGAGCATTGGAAGTACGAGGCATCGCAGGTAGCCTTGAAGCACAATCCCCAGGAAACGCACGAGCTGAATGAGAGTCATTGTGAGATGGCGACTTGGAAATTGGTTCATCTCGCCGATATTTGTATCGTGCACAACTGCCACAGATGTGAAGTTGAGCTGGAGGTCTAGGGCTCACTTTTTTTAGCAGCGCTCCGGTGACGTGTCGCGCCGTGGTGTGCTTGAAACCGGGTAACCTACAGTCTCCAATTGCGGCTCGGTTCCCCCTCTGTAAATTCGAACTTGCAAATTCGCACCTTGGTGTGTGATTGTGAGTATACAAGAATTTGCACTCGCGGTGCGAACCTTGCCACATCTCAAAATCGATTCAAGTTCAGGTTATAAAACCCTGCTTAAATCGAGTAAAAAACGTGAACTTTCATAAACCCTTGTTTCACACACGTCCTAACCTCCCCGTAAATCTATTTTCGAAAAGACTCGTGCTGTTCGCATTTGGTCGATCAGTTCGTCGGCGCGGGGGATGGGGTATCGCGATTTGACTGTTACCCTGTTAAGCGCTCGGTAGTCGATGCACATGCGGAACCCTCCGTCTTTTTTCGGTGTGAACAGTATCGGTGCGGCGAACGGTGACGTGCTCGGTCGGATAAACTGCTTCTCTAACTGGTAATCTAACTGCTTCCTTAGCTCGTCGAGCTCGGGCTGTGTCAGTCGAAATTGGCGCTGTACAGTTGGCTGTGCCCCCGGTCCTAACTCGATCCTATGGTCGTGCGCCCGCTGAGTGCGCAGTTTCTGACGTGCCGAAATCGAGGCCGTGATCGGCTCAAAGCGCGCCCGAAGTCCTGCGCACCACGCATCCCACGTGCTGTATTGGGCGGTTTCGCAGAACGAACTCCAGGTAACAGCTGGACCCGAGGGCCCTTCCTCGTGCGACGGTGGCTCGTAGGCGCGCGGCGACGTCACAATGACTCGCCACCAGTCCATGGCGGGGCCCCTGAGTAGTGAAACCGCATACCGGATCTTGGCGGCGTCCGACTCGACGTAGTTGGCGTCGAAAAACACATTCATCGTGAAGACCCACGATTGAACTGTCGGGCCGCCGCGTTGGCTTGGGTCGAAGCAGGGCGGGCGTTGCGGCTTGAGTGGCATTGGGGCCATCATGGCGTTCTCGCCACTTGTCGCCGCAAACTCCACGTGCCGACGGGCTTCTCGGGGCTCCCGTGGGCTTAATGCGCTCCTGTTCCCTCCCATGCCAGGCATCGGTTGGGCTGCGCCGTCACTGGCTGCGCCTGAGCGCTGTCCCGTGCTGTTGTGTTGCGTTGGTGTGCCGGATGAGATGACGATGGGCTCCTCCGAATGTGCAGATGCATTGGTTTGTGCGTGTGATGTCGTCGGTACGTTCCCCGTTGACTGTTGACGGGCGGAGTCACGTTCCGCCGTGAGAGTCGCGATTTCGAGCGCCGAATCCTCCAATTGACGCACGAGACGATCGAGTTGCTCCTGCGTCAACGTGGCGAGATTGAAATCGGCCATGGCGGGGGTGTCGGGCAAGCTCAGCGAGAGCCTCGGTCGTGGCCGTGCGTGCTTTCGAGAGAGCACTACGAGCGGCGGTGCTGTGTTGCTGAGAGACGTCTACCCCCCCCAAAAATTGAGATAGTGGGAAGCGAAGGTGTGGATGCGGTCCGAGATGAGATCGTAGGCTCTGATACCAAGTGTTACGAGTGCAATTGAGTGAACGAACGAGAATTGCACTATCGAAGCAAGAATACAATGAGCGAGGGCGTGAGCGAAGAATATATAGCGAAACTACAGTGGTAACGGTAATGGTCTGTGGTAGTCGCGCGACGAGCCTGGGACAGAGGTTGGGAATGTGTCGAAGCGTAGGCCCGGAGCGCGGGTTACCAGCCGAGCCGTGAGGTCGGGATGCGATGTGCGAAAAGGGCGGGATGATGAATGATGCGATGGTCGCGAGTGGTAACGGTGCTGACTGAGGTGCTACAGTGATGTACGCGTTGAGCAGGGACGCTAAGTAAGGAAAAGGGAATTTCCTTACACTAATACTGTAAGGAAGAACCCGAGAATACAGTACCATACTTGCGCGCCTCGTTCGCACAACACAACCGATAAAGCGTTGCAAGCTTGACCCGGTATCATTTGTATTCAACAACATGGTAATTTAAGCCTTCACCTCGTTAAAGCTATATCTAAATTTAGTATCTCGGTTGTCTCACAATTTCAGCTGGTTACCGCAGGGTCTGACTACCCTCCTCTTCATCTGCGTCATCTACGTCAGGCACAAACAAGACATGGTCTATGGGGTTGTTGGTTGCATCATATGCTGACCACGACAACAAATGGGCACTCAAATCCACCCTTACATAGTGGTGCCCCAAGTGCGTCACCTGAGATTTGGAAGGAAAGAAAGAGGATGCGGACATCATAAATAAACGCCTCATACTAACCGGACACATCCAGCTCTGCTCTGGCCCAACATACACTAAAAAAAAAGACACACGAGACACACACAGAAAAATATCAGCAACAGTTGTCAGCTCTGCATCAGCTGACAAAAACAACAACGAAGCAAAAGAGCGGCGCTCACCTTATACATCCCCCAGTCAGCAACTCGGTGCTTGTCAATGCGCTCCCCACCTCCCCCCAAGATGGCGTACATGACCCCGTTCCTCTCGCCCCTTTGGTACGCGTGTGAGTGCCCACTAACCACCAGATCCACACGATACTTCTCAAACAGAGGAACCCACTCCAGCCTCACCCACTCCGTCCGCCTCCGCTCCCCTCCACCCCCATCCTCTCCACTCCCCTCCCCACCACCACTCCCTCCAAATCCACTTCCCGGCCCACCACCACCCGCACCCCCCCCACTACCACCACCACTATGGCTCCCGTGCCATGATGCAGCATCCCAGTAGTCAATAAACGGAGGGACGTGCAGCAGGACGGCCACAAACGGTGGTGCTACTCTGCGCTCCCTCGCTGCTGCCACCGCCTCTAGCGTGGCGCGCAGCCATGCTGTCTGTACAGCAATGGAAGAAGCATTCACGTTGGAATCAAGGCCTATCCACAGGCATTCGCCTAGCAGCATGGACCACCACCGCACATCTCCACTGGTAGGCATGGCAGTTGAGTGAGTGGTGGTGGTGGTGGCGGTGGCGGTGGCGGTGGCGGTGGCGGTGGTGGCGGTGGTATGCTGTGTGGTGGAGGCAGAGGGAAGAGACCATAGGGAAGGAGGAGGAGAGGAGGTTGACGTGGGTGAGAGGAGTGGAGAGGAGGAAGGAAGAGGGGCAAACAGATCCGCAAGCTGATGGGCATCGATCAGCTCATCAACACCACTCTCGCTGCTGCTGCCATTGCTTCTGCCACTGACGCTGCTGGCCCTACCACTGCTACTGCCGCTGCCACGGCCCCCCACCCAACCTCCCCCATGTGCTGCTGCTGCTGCTCCTGCACCTGACCCACTTGCATGCCCCACAGCCACATCGAGATCCCCATGCACGCCCAGGGAAGGAATCGACGCCGCCACATGGCTCGCTTCCAGTGGTTGTGTCCACATGCGCTGCCACTGCAGCACGGCAGCGCCCTCTCCCCCACCACCACTCGCACCACCACCAGCAGCACCACTGCCACCACCACCACCACCACCCGCCGCCGCTGCCGCAGCTGCAGCCTCAGCAGCAGCAGCAGAGGCTCCAGGGACCCGATCGCCCAGGTGTAGGATCAGGTCTGCGGAGGGTTTATGCGCTCGGATGTGCGTCAGGTGGCGCCGGAACACAGAGCTGCCCCCCTGCGTGTCTGATATGATTACCAGATGAAAAAACTCGTCGTCTACGTTGTTATCGTCCTCATACCCCTCCCCTTCGTCCTCCTCCGCTGCTGCCCCTGCCCCTGCTCCTCCTCCTCCTCCTCCTCCTGCCGCTGCTCCTGTGCGTGCCCCTGTTCCTCCTGTATCCCCTGCTGCCCCACCCGCACCGCCACCTGTTCCCGATCCCGACCCTGCATCCCCACCTGCACTCTCCCCGGTCTTGCCCAGGCCAAGCGACACACCCATAGGTGGCCTCTCATGCGCCTTGCGCCCCCACATGCCCTTCTTCCCCACTCGAGACTCAAACTTGGGCGACCCTCCCCCCCCATGGTCCTTCAGCCCGGCTGATTTTCTCAGCATGGCCGCCCGGGTCTTCAGATAATGCCGCCTCTTGTTGTGCCGCTCGAACCAGGACACGCGGTGGCCGCCTGAGCGGTTGGAGAGGGCGGCGGAGCGGTGGGCGGCAAGGGCGGCGTAGGGCGTCGGGCCGAGGAAGTGGAAGGAGAAGACGGGGGAGCACTGCGACCCGGAAAGCACACGGTAGTTGTAATGACCGGTGGGGATCGAGGCGGGTAATTGCGCCGTGTGCACCCAATGGGATGATGACACCTGGACAGGTGAGAGTGTGATCACGAAGGAGAAAGAGAAAAAGAGAGAGGAGCGGAGGATGAGGAAGGTGGATGAGTCAAGAAAGGAAATGGGGGGAAACGGGGATGGGACAAGGTCGGAATTAAAATCACCAGCGGATTTCAACATATGCAGAGCGGGCAGGCAGGAAGAGCAGGAAGAGAGGGCAGGAAGAGCAGGAAGAGAGGGCAGGAAGAGCAGGAAGAGAAGGCAGGAAGAGCAGGAAGAGAGGGCAGGAAGAGCAGGAAGAGAAGGCAGGAAGAGCAGGAAGAGAGGGCAGGAAGAGCAGGAAGAGAAGGCAGGAAGAGCAGGCAAGGAGGCAGAGGCAAGAGTTTCCCACTGACCTGCACAGAGCTAGTAGCTGGTACCATCCAGCTGCCATGACTCACTGCTCCTTCCACACCCCCACCCTCTCTACCTCCCCACCTCCCGCCCCACTCATTTCCCCAACCCTCTCTGCTTGCCCCAGCTTCTTGCTCCCTCCCCACACCACCAGCGCCCATTTTTGTTCCCCCACCCCCACCTCCTGCCCCTGCTCCTCCCCCTCCCTCTCCCCCTCCCCCTCCTGGTGCTACCGACGCATTACCCGCACTGCCGCTACCAGTACCCGTGTCAGATGCAGAGACATAGCCAGCTGCTCTTCTCCCAAGCGGCTCACTGCCCCAACCCGCCTTTCCGCCCACATGCTGCTGCTGCTGCTGCTGCTGCAGCTGCTTGTGCTGGCCCTGTGCGGCCGAGCAGGCATCTTGGAGAATGGCACACGCAGGGGAGGTTGCACCTGCCTTCATGACTCGATGCTTCTGCCGCACTCTGGAAAGGGGAGACGTAGAGAGCACGTGCCGCAGTGAGGGAGTGGGAGGTGGAATCGTGGGACACGGCAAGCAAAGTGCGGAAAACAGGGGAGGAGCGGGGGGGAAGAGGGATGAGTCTGGAGGGTCATAGCGATCTGCTAGCGCCCTTTTGAATCGACTCAAAAGTCACATAGCTATCTTCTAGCGCCGCGATACCTCACCCCAACCCCAACCCCAACCCCAACCCCAACCCCGCCGTGACCAACGCTCAACCCCTTCTTACCCCTCATCCCCTTTTCCCTCTAACCCCTGAACCCCCCCCCCTCGCCCTGTGCTATGCCCAAGTCGTGCAGGAGGTGGGGCCTGGGGCAAGCACATGCTGTGCACCTGCACCAGGTTCCAGTTGCTGTCTCCCCCGCTGCACCGATTTTTTAGGCGCTTCGCAAAAGAGATTCATATTCATTTCAGGAATAAGGCGCCTATAAAGGAAAACAAAAAGGAATGGTAGTGGTAATGGTGGTGGCGGCGGTTGTGGTGGTGGTGGCGGCGGCGGTTGTAGCGGTGGAGTGTGTGAGTGTGTGTAGCACGCACCTGCACATGACCACGCTGTGGTGCACCACGTTGCAGTTGCTGTCCCACTGCACTGACAGCTGTGCCACCCCAAACGCGTGGCCTTGCCCGGCCGATGCAGCAGGAGCGGATGAGGACGAGGATGAGGAGGAGGAGGAGGAGGAGGAGGAGGAGGAGGAGGAGGAGGAGGAGGAGGAGGAGGAGGAGGAGGAGGGGTGAGAAGAGGCAAGGGGCACGGAGATGTTGCCCCAGATCTCCTCCCTCTCCTCCCCTTTCGGCTCTCGGGCAGTGTAAAACAACCGTGGACCTGCCCGTATCAAACATGTTGGCACAACAGGGGTCAATGCTGCTGCTGCTGCTGCTTCTGTTGATGTTGCTGCTGTAGAGTTCTTGAAATTAGAGGAGTTACCTATACACGGAAAGGGGAGGGGGAGAACGGGAGGGGAAAGCGGCGAGGTAAGGAAGGTGTCATGGAAGTGTCATGGAAGTGTCATGGAAATGTCATGGAAATGTCATGGAAGTGCGATAAAACCTGATGGAGATTTGTTTTAGACGTCTCTACGCTTACAATTATGACAAAAGGATGAGGTTGCAAAAGTGTATTTTGTTTCCGTGACAACAAACACGCAGAGATCCTTGTTGCTTCAGTTAAGTGGGAAGCAGGGACCAGAAGGCAGACAGCAGAGGTGAAGGCAGAGGCAAGAGAGAAGAGGGGATATCGGAAAGAGGAAGGGAGAGGGGAGAGGGGTGTGAAAAGAGGAAAAAGTGAAGGGAGAGTGGAGAGGGGAGAGGGGAGAGGGGAGAGGGGAGAGGGGAAAAAGAAGACAGGAGATGGGAGAGTGAAGATGAGAGAGGGAGAGGGGAGATGCAAGAGGGGAGTGAGGAAGCATGTGTGGCCTTGGATCTCCAAAGCTCCTACCTTGATCCCTGCTGCTGCGCACAGAAAGCGAGCTTTGACCCAGGAGCGAGGCATGAGTGGGGTACATGAGAGACAGCCTTACAGCCACGCCCCCTGCCGCCATTGAGTCAACTCAAACAGTTCCTACCTTGATCCCTGCTGGTGGGCACAGCAGGCGAGACTTGACCCAGGAGCGAGGCATGAGTGGGGTACATGAGAGACAGCTTCACAGCCACGCCCCCTGCCGCCACTGCCACACGAGGCCCCTTCCCTGCTCCATCCTCAGCAGCATCGCCGCTGCTGGCACTGGCAGCACCGCCCGTGGCAGCAGCAAGAGCGGCAGCGGTTTCTGCTGTTTCTGCTGCTACTGCTGTTGCTGCGACAGGGGGCAGGTCGCCAAGAATAGGGAAGGACGGAGGTGCGCAGAGGTCTACAGAGAGATACCGGGTTGATGGAGGCACCTGGTGCGGGGCAGTGCAGAGGGGTGGGGTATGGTGGAAGGAAACGAGAGACAGAGTTGACAAGACGCCCGGGGCATGCTGCACTGGGGGTTGGAACACAATACAGGTGCCATATGCATGGTTACTTGCAAGAGCCTGCAAGAATAGGGAGTGCCGCTTACAGTCTATAATGTTGAAATCCGATTCTCCCATGCTCCCATGCACCCAAGATCCCACGCTCCCATGCGCGCCCATTCTCACACTCTCTCTCCCCCATTCACTCACTCACACACTCACTCACTCACTCACCAGCGCCACCAGCGGCCCCACATCGCGTTGCCTCGTAATGCTCTGCCCCACTGCTCCCACCCGCACCATCTCCTCCCCTGCCTCCCCTCCCTCCCCTGTATAGAACCTCCCAGAACCTCCCTTCTCCTGCTGCAAGCCCCCCACCCGCGCGCTCTCTTCACTTCCCCTTACCCCCTGCCCGTCCCCCCACAGCGCCAGAGACACCACCACGCGCTGAGTCTCCACCAAGCCCCGCTCAATTGCCCCTGAATCCTTCCGCCATCCCTCTCTTGGCGCCTCGTCTCCTCCCCCCCCTGCTCCTGCTCCCCCTACTCCTCCTGCTGCAACTCCCTCCCCCTGTCTCGCTCCTGCTGCTGCTCCCGCCGCTGCTCCTGCCCCCGTCTTCCACTCCTCTCTTCTGTTGCCACCTTCTACCCCCTCTCGCTTCACGCTTTCTTGCCCTTCCCCTTCTCTTCGCTGCCCCTCGCCCGCATCAGCAGTCCCATTGCCGCCAATGCCCCCACCCGCTCCCAACCCCGCTCCCACTCCCGCCCCCAGTCCTGCTCTCAGTCCCTCCCCCATCTGCAGCAGCACAGACACGTAGACTGCGCCGCTTCCGCCAGTGCCCCGCATCTCCGCCACCTCCTGTATCCGCGCGCGCACGTCTGTGGCCCACCGCCGGCACACCAGCCCATGCGCCCCCCGCCACAGCAGCGTGAACTCCCGCGAGTCGTTCCCCGCAGAGCCGGCGGAGGCGGAGGCGGAAGAAATAGGGGAACCGGGGACAGGTGAGTCGGAGCGGATGCGCTGGGAGCGGGGAAATTGGCGCGCAGCTGCTGAGGAGGCGGAAGAAGAGGACGAAGAAGGGGAAAGTTCTGCAGCATCCGGAGTGGAGGAGGATGGAGGTGGGCGGAGGAGTATAGAACGGTCGAGAGGCAGCAGGTAGGTGGCGGCGGGGAACAGGTCAGTGTCCACGTGGATGCATGGCGGCACCACTTTGTCCTGTTGCGGCTGCGCCTGCTTGTGCCAGAGCCACACACGGGTGAGCGGCGCAGCGGGAAAGGGGCGGGGGTGAGTGGGGAGAGGGGATGGGAGGAGGGTGGGGAGAAAGGTGGTTTTTTTGTGTGGTGGTGTTGTGCAAACGAGTTGTTATTTATCTCCCAATTGGAGCGTGAGGTTGTGTGAAGGAGACCCAAGTGAATGAGCGAACTCACACAAATTCTCGAAATCACGGGGAAAGATAGGGGAAGAGGAGAATGAGAAAGAAGGCGAGGGAAATGTGAGGAGAGGGGAGAGGGGGCAGGAAGGGCTACGCCTGCAGCTTCCAACAAAACCCTCTTTCATGCACGCTCGTTTGGCCCTCAGACACACCTCCCCGAATCCAGTGACCATGGCAAGCGAGCGCGCTTGCTGCAGCACGTGCAGCGCGCGGATGGACAGCGACGGCAGCTGCTGCCGCGCGGCGTTCTCCAGCAGCAGATCCGCGGACGAGTCTCCCCCGCCCGCGGTCCCCGCCGCCGCCGCCGCGTCGAGCAGCTGCGACGGGTCCATGGGCGCATCGACGCTGTACAGGAGGCGCATGAGGCAAATCACCGACGTGAAACACGCCAACCCGCCGCCCACCAGAAACACCGTCATAACTCGCCGCATGCTGAAAATTCCGCGCCATCCGCCGCCGCCGCCCCCCCCGCCGGCACCAAAGGCGGTGGATCGTGCCGGCTTCCGCGGGGAGTGGTTGGGGAGAATGGGCTTGCGCTGCTTGCTGGGCGTGTTCTTGATGGGGAGTCCTCCGCGCATGGTGGAGCGTGCGTCGGGCGGTGAGAGCGGACTATGGGGATAAGATTAGGGTTTGGTTGAAGGCGGTGATCATGGTGGGGAGGATGGAGACGGAGGCGAGCGTAAGAGGACTCGCAGTGATGGAATTTAGAGCGGGAGCGTGGGTGAAGGGACGAGCGCGGGCCACACGCACCGCCGTCTAAGGATTGACGCGTGGAACCGGCCAGGTATGACGCTGCGCGCGATCCGCTGATAGATTCTATTATGGAAAATGGTTAGGGTATGATAAGAACGGAGCAGGCTCTGTGTGACTATCCAGTAGGTGGTGATTCGGCAGGTCCTTCCGCAATTCAGGATGAAACTCAGCCTATTTCTGTCCTTGGGACACAATAACGCCTTGATGCTAATCCTTACGTGGCCGTTATTGCATCGCGATCGGCCCCGAACTTTAAAGGTCACTATCGGTCAAAAGACGCCACTGGAGGGGAGTTGCTGCAAGTCTGATGTACCGACTGCACGTCGCGTCGGAAGCTATCATATCACGGTTGATCTGAGCCGTTCCGCCGGTCGGATTGGTCGATCGCGAGTGGTGGCGCACGCTGTCAGATCGGAGCTAGGAAAAAAAGAAACAGAATCAAGAAGAAGGTGACGCCTCTCTTGCCAGGCAGGCCATGCGATTCCGATTCATGGAACCAACTTCACCGAGCGTGCTTCTGCTCTACTAGCGGAAACTAGACCAATTGGCCAAGGAAGCGGAGGTCCGACAGGAAATTCCAGAGCTAGCAAGTCGCGGCTTCGAGAGTGTGTAACAAAGCGCAGTTATAAAAGAGGAGGTGCCATGGATACTGCGCAAAAGCTGCGCACTAAGGTGTGTGGGGAGTAGCTGTAGCTCTGCACGTTGCATGCATCCTAGAGCTTGGGGAGCGGACCGACAGATTTGTACGACGAAGATGGGGCACGCACTAGCGGGAATATTCTTTCGGTGTATCCGCTATAAGCAATAGAATTTGGGTCACAAACCAGGGTCGTTCTTCCAGCTACAGATAAATAATAAATTTCCTGTCAGGTTTAGTTTAGTTGACAGGTCAAAATTCATTTGGCGTGTGTAGTGCCGGTGGATCCAATCAGAAGGCAGCCGATGTGACTCTGTCGAGGGAGCTGGTCCCCACAGTCCCCTCTTCAGCTCCCTCGATGATCTCTCATCATGCTCCGCCTAACCTCCAAACCCAACCGAACCTCGATATTTCTGAGACAACCCTGCCTACACTACACTGCCCCAGCCTTCACTGGCGTGTTTCCCCCCCGATCTTGGATTGAATCCCACGGTCCCTGTTCGCTTATCCAGCCAGCAGCTGATTCTCGCTTTCATACCACGCCGCCACGGCCAGCCAACGGCCATAACTCCACGTCATGTGATCAACACACCACGAGCTCGCATGTAGGATTCGTCGGTCCCTTAGCCAAGGCAAAAGCTGAAGCTGCGAATCGCAGCTATACCTGCCGTTGGTCCGCGCGAGCAGCAGCAAGGAAGCATTTTCCGTAGTTGAGTCAATGCCACTTCCGTCGCCGTCGCCGTTGCCGCTGCCGCTGCCGTCGCGATCGTTATAGCCGTGTTGTGCGTGGGTCCTTTTGAGTCAGAGGCAGCTCCGGAGCGTTTAGGCTGAATCCGTGTGAAGCCGCCTTAGATTCGCCAACCCAGGCACCTCATCTTGAGTCCCGCTAGTCCACGCGCGTCAGGTCGAATTGCAAAAGCCACGGGCGACATTACCGTCACGGTCAGAATTGTGCGCGCCGTCGTTGCTCTTATATAATCTCGCATTCGCGCAGCGTCGAGCGGCCATGGGGCTGTACGACGCGGTGGCAGGCATGGCGGTGCGCCTTCTGGATATCATCAGCACGTACCTGCAGGTCCCCTTCTTTCGAGTCAATTTCCTCGACTTAACCGTTGACGGTACGTGCATCCCCAATCCTCTCCCCTCCCGAACCTGTCCCTTCCCGAACCTGTCCCCTCCCGAACATGTCCCTCCCGAACCTGTCCCCTCCCGATCCTGTCCCCTCCGGATCGGTGGTTCCGAACTTACAGCCAGCGCACGCGTCAGATCCACGCGCCTGGCGTGATTGCATGATGCGCCTGGCGTGATTGCATGATGCGCCTGGCGTGATTGCATGATGCGCCTGGCGTGATTGCATGATGCGCCTGGCGTGATTGCCTGTTGCGCCTGGCGTGATTGCATGATGCGCCTGGCGTGATTGCATGATGCGCCTGGCGTGATTGCATGATGCGCCTGGCGTGATTGCATGATGCGCCTGGCGTGATTGCATGATGCGCCTGGCGTGATTGCCTGTTGCGCCTGGCGTGATTGCATGATGCGCCTGGCGTGATTGCCTGTTGCGCCTGGCGTGATTGCATGATGCGCCTGGCGTGATTGCATGATGCCTGGCAGACTGGCATTGCGTTCCTGTCACGCTCCTCACATCCGTCGTCCTCTGCGTCGCATCGCATCCCCTTGCCTCTCGTCACTCCGCTTGTTCAATTGCTAACCTGATGGCCACCTTTCCTTCTTGCGTGCTTCTCTGATCGCGTGCCTCTGTAATTGCGTGTATGTTTCGCACGGCTTGTGCTCTTCCATCCGTCTGGTTGGGCTGTTCTGTGCTGCAAATCTCGGTGATGTGTTGTGCTGTGCTGTGCTGTGCTGTGCGGTGCTGTGCGGTGTGCATGCGCGCGATCTGGCTGTGCACGACAGGCCATTTGATCCTGGAGACCATTCTGCTGGTGGCCATCATCGTCCTCATGTCGCAGAAGAGTTACAAACCAGACAAGCGATCGCTCACTGAAACGGTCAGCCAGCCACCCTACTTCCCTCGCCTCTACCTTCTACCCTCTTTCTCCACTCCTCCGCTCACACCTGAACTTTCCTTCACGTCCTGTGTGCATCATTGCATCATCTCCAGCCGCCCCTCCTCCTTGTCCTTTCCTGTTGCAGCCTGCTTTTTCGTTTAGTCTTGCATTCCCTGACGTGTGCTCCGCCTGTCTGCACTCCACCCGTCTGCACTCCACCCGTCTGCACTTCACCCCTCTGCACTCCACCTGTCTGCACTCCACCCGTCTGCACTCCACCCGTCTGCACTCCACCCGTCTGCACCCCACCCCTCTGCACTCCACCCCTTTGCACTCCACCTGTCTGCACACCACTCCTCTGCGCTGCACTCCTCTGCACTGCACCCCTCTGCACTCTAACACTCTGCACCCCACCCCTCTGCACTCCACCCCTTGCACTCCACCCCTCTGCACTCCACCCCTTTGCACTCCACCCCTCTGCACTGCATCCTGTGTGCGCTGTTGTGGGCGAGCAGGAGATCGACCACCTGTGTGAGGAGTGGGTACCTGAGCCGCTGCACCCGCCCGCTCCCCCTCAAGCCCTCGCCCGCCATGTGCCCGTGCTCGACAAGTGAGTCAAGTGGGGAGTCCTGGCCCTGGAAGGGAAGTTGCCTAGTTTCGAATTGCTGACTAGTGGAGCTGGTGAATGGGATGGGGCAGGTAGCAATGGGGGCTACATGTGGTGGTGCTGTGCTGTGAGTAATCATTTAGTCCTACTCCACCTCTCATTCGTGCTTCAGTACGTTTCTCACGCCTCTCCTGCCCCCTACCCTGTGACCACCACAACCCGTTGCGCCCTCCCTGGCGCGGCGTAGGGCGGGAGAGCCATGGACGGTGGCGGACGGGCGCAAGATGCTGAATCTGGCGTCCATGAACTTCCTGGGGCTCATAGGCAACACGCATGTGCAGGTCAGCGTGCTGTGCTGTGCTGTGCCGTGATGATTCTAGATGAGTAGCATGCGTCATGTGCCATTTGTCATGTGCCATGTGCTTCTTGCCATGTGCCATTTGCGCCACATGCCCTCTCCTCCCGCCACCCGTTTCGTATCTCACTGCAACGCCTTCCCCCTCCCATCCCCTGACACTCTGCCTGGCATGCATCGGCCAGGAGGCGGCCACAGCAGCGCTGCACAAGTACGGGGTGGGCTCTTGTGGCCCGCGTGGTTTCTACGGCACGATAGGTATGCTTTGAGTGCCACGTGGACGTGCTGTGTGAATGTGTCCCGTCCCGTCCACTCTGTGCCTTCCGCTGGGTTGAGACCACATGACTCTTACAAGAAGAATGCCTGTCAGCCCCCACCCCAATCTGCCCAACTCGCCACCAGCACCTCTCACCACGTTCCAGTCCCTGCAATCTGCTGCTCACCAATACCTCCTGCTTCTGGCCATCGCCCCACTCACTCCGCTGCTCACTTCTCTCTCCCCACGTCTCCTCTTCCTCCATCCCCCCTCTTCACCCCCTCCCCCTTTCCCCCGTCCCTCTTTCCCTTCTTACCACCTTCACCACGTCTCCACTTCCCCCATCCCCCCCGTCCCCTTCCTCTGTTCCCCCCGTCTCTCCTCTCCCTGGGTGGGCATGGCGGGGAGTGGCGATGGCAGACGTGCATCTGGATCTGGAGGAGCGCATAGCAGCGTTCATGGGTGTGGAGGGGTGTATCCTCTACTCCTATGGCCTCGCCACCGTCGCTTCCACCATCCCCGCCTTCTGCAAGCGCGGGGACCTCATCATCGCGTGCGTGCACTGCACTGCACCACCGCCTTCCCCCTCCTCCACTCTCCTGTCCTCCTCTCCCCCTGTCTCCTCCGCCTGCTTTTAGATTCTGCTTCTTTGTGCCTCGTCTTCCTTATTCACGTCACAACAGCACATCATGAGATCAAATCAGTCAATTATATTCCGCAGCCTGGTAGCGATCCCTCCCCCCGCACTCCCCTGTCTCTCCCCACACCTTCCATCCTCCCTCATCCTCTTCTCCCACCCCCTTCGCCTGGTCTGTCCCGTCCCTTGCGACTGTGTGCGGTCTTATGCCGCGAGCGGCGGCAGTGACGAGGGCGTGGGGTGGGCGATGCAGAATGGCATGACGTTGGCGCGCAGCACGGTGCGCTACTTCCGCCACAACGATATGAACCACCTGGAGCAGCTGCTGCCTCGTTCTCATCCCTCCCCTCCTTGTCTCCCTGCCTCTCAACCCTACATTCCTCTCCCCACCTTCCATCCTCCCCCGTCCTCTTCTCCCTACGCCTCCCCTCCCCTCCCCTCTTCTTTTCCCCCGCCCGGGGCTCTCCCCTCCCTTGCGGTTCTGTGCGTTTCTGTTCGGTTGTGTGTGGTGGCAGTGACGAGGGCGTGGGGTGGGCGATGCAGAACGGCATGACGTTGGCGCGCAGCACGGTGCGCTACTTCCGCCACAACGACATGAACCACCTGGAGCAGCTGCTGCAGCACCACGCCGCCGCCGACCGCAAGAGCAACAAGACCGACATCCGCCGCTTCATTGCTGTTGAAGCCCTCTACCAGGTGACAAGGGGGGGAGGGGAGGGGACGGGGGGAAGGGAGAGAGTGAGGCGGAGAGAAGAAGGGGAGAGGGAAAGGGAGAGCAAGAGCAACAAGACCGACATCCGCCACTTCATTGCTCTTGAAGTGCTCTACCTGGTGCTGGATGGGGGCCGGGGTATGGTAGGTGAGGGGGGAGTGGTGGGGGAGGGAGACAGGTTTGGGGGGAGAGGGAAAGGAGAGCACGAGCACGAGCACGAGCACGCCGCGGCAACAATCGCTCCCCACACGCCCTCTCTCTTTTACTGGCTTCACATGGCACTGCTTGGGCGAGCTGCTACCTGTGCCGGAGCTGGTGTGGCTGAAGAAGAAGTGCAAGTTCCGCATTATCGTAGAGGAGAGCCTCTCGTTTTTCTATTTGACCGAAAAAACTCTCCCACCACACCCGCTCTCTCCCACTAATGCCAGTACTTGGGCGAGCTGCTGCTACCCCTGCCGGAGCTGGTGCGGCTGAAGGAGAAGTACAAGTTCCGCATCGTAGTTGAGGAGAGCCTTTCGTTTGCTGAGTCGACTCAAAATTCGCTCCCCCCACGTCCTCACTCTCCCCACCCCACCACCGCAGTGCTCGGGGGAGCTGCTGCCCTTACCAGAGCTGGTGCGGCTGAAGGAGAAGTACAAGTTCCGCATCATCGTGGAGGAGAGCCTGTCGTTTGGCGTGCTGGGCGCCACGGGGCGGGGCATCTCGGAGCACTACGGCATGCCGGTCACCAGCATTGACATTATCGTTGCTGCCATGGGCACCTCGCTTGCTTCGGTCGGAGGGTTCTGCTGCGGCAGTGCCAAGGTGGTGGACCACCAGGTGAGACATGTGCTGTGCTGTGTGCGCATGCTGGGGGCCACGGGGCGGGGCATCTCGGAGCACTACGGCATGCCGGTCACCAGCATTGACATTATCGCTGCTGCCAAGGGCACTTCGCTTGCTTCCATTGGGGGGATTTGTTGTGGTAGCGCCCAGGTGGTTGACCACCAGGTGAGACATGTGCTGTGTGTGCGCGCTCCTGCTGCTTCCTGTGCTCGTGCTTGCTTGCTGCGTGCTTCTTGCTTCCATGCCTGCTTGCTACCGTTCCCATCTCACATCCCAATCCCATCCCCATCCCATCCCCATCCCAGTACTCTCCATCCCCCTCCTCTCCTGCCCCATGTCACATGCTCCATCCTCCTCCACTCACGCTCCCGCGCCCTATGCTTCCTCTCCAACCTGCTTGTGCCTTACACCCCCCCTGCAGCGGCTGGGCGGCATGGGGTACTGTTTCTCAGCGTCACTGCCGCCGTTCCTGGCGTCAGCAGCCATGGCAGCGTTGGATGAGATGGAGGCACGCCCCACCGCACGCTCCCTCCTGCACTCCAATGCCGCCGCCTTCCGAGAAGGTCAGTTGATGGATCCATGTGCTTTGTGGCGCTGTGCGCTTGGGGTGGTGCATGCGTTCCTGGCGTCAGCAGCCATGGCAGCGTTGGATGAGATGGAGGCACGCCCCACCGCACGCTCCCTCTTGCACTCCAATGCCGCCGCCTTCCGAGAAGGTCAGTTGATGGATCCATGTGCTTTGTGGCGCTGTGCGCTTGGGGTGGGGCATGCGTTCCTGGCGTCAGCAGCCATGGCAGCGTTGGATGAGATGGAGGCACGCCCCACCGCACGTTCCCTCCTGCACTCAAATGCCGCTGCCTTCCGAGAAGGTCAGTTGGTGCCGTGCGCTTGGCCGCGCTGTGTGTTGGGCGCTGTGCGTGCAGACACGGGAGAAGAATTCAGGCAACAGCGAGAGGGGTAGTAGGAGGGGAGAAGACGGCTTGTTCCTGGGTTGAGAGGAGAGCGTGTAGCTCATAGGAGGGTGTGCTTTTACAGTGTTGCTTCAGAACCCCTCCCCCCTGCCTTGATGATACATGAGAAGCACCACTCCCGTATGCCATGGGGATGCATGCATATACCACATAGCTCATACCCATTCCCACATCGCATGACTTCTTCCCCACAACCTCTCCTCCCCAATCCTGCAGGCATGGCAACCCACTGCCCTGATCTGGAGGTGCATGGTCATGCTGTGTCGCCTGTGGTGCTGCTGCGGGTGCGCAAGGGAGCAGGCGCAGGGGGTGCGGTGCGGGAGGGGGAGGATGAGCCTGCAGTGCTGCAGAGGATAGTGGATGAGGTGAGTGCAGGGATGGTGTGTGCTAGGCTGCTGGGGTTTAGGGTTTAGGACGGAATAAAAATGAAGATACTCTATTCTTGTTGAATAAGTAGTCTTCTGCATGGATGGACACTTTGGATCCCAAGCTGGTGAGTTTCAATTTCAACCAGTCGTTTGTCGCCACCCTCCTGCCCTACCGCATTCCACCCTTGACTTGCACAGTGCGCCCGTCTCCCCTTTCCGGGCACTGCACCTGACAAAAGCTATCCTTCCTCCCTCCTGCTTCTGTGTATCGTGCTGTGCATGCCGACTCTCAGATGCGGGAGGGGGAGGATGTGCTGGTGAGTGTTCCGCTGCGCTCTCCTCTGGACATAAGCCCCTTGCCCGCGGGCATCCGAGTGTGCATCTCCGCAGGGCATTCACAGGACGACATGCTGCTGGCAGCTAAGGCCTTTGGCCGGGCAACTGCTCGTGTGCTCGGTTCAGAAGCGTCTAGCTGATCGCATGGGTGTTAGCTAGGGTTTACATTGCTTCTTCCAGTTGGCACCGCAGGATTGGGGTGGAAAGGAGAGTGAAGTGGGTGAGCCTGCTTTGTTCAAAGTGCTTATGATTTTTGTGCTTGTGGCCTTGGTGCTGCTTTCTTGGCTGAGTGTGCATGCACATTGGTACATGTACAGGCACCCACTTGGTTGCTGTGTGCAATGGTTGAGGAATAAGGGCACAGTTTCGCATAGTCAATCTAAGTGGGGTGGGGTGCAAACTTTTTTCTCCCTTCCGTTGATCCTTCTAGTGCGTTAGCAAAGCTCTTTAATTCTTGCAACAGAATTCCAGCTCTGTAGCTCACACTTGTGTAGGATTTCGCCATTGTTACATGGCGACGCTTCGCGAAACTGTTCTATCCTCCATTTCCCTCTCCACCCCATTCTTGCTTCGGTAGCGCCTCACTAAGAGCCAATTGCGCTTGCAACCTCGTTATAACGGTTGCAGAGTCGCAATCACGGGCCAGTAACGCTGGGTTACCTTCCCGCGCCGGCCAACACGGCGCGCGCGCTGAGGCGCCTCTCCATGGCCACGGTTTCCGCCTTTGCGCCCACTTTCTCCCCTGCGCACTGCCTCCACCGCTCTGCCGCAGCCTCCGCCGCGACGCCGTTGCTCCAGGCCCGCGCGCTCATGGCGGGGGCTATGGGCGTTTTGCGGAATGCAGCCGCTCCGCGCAGTACTGGTATTAGCGGGACAGCGCGGCAAGGAGTAGGGATATTGGAACGCGAAACCACGGCGCAGGGCCGTGAAAGCGGAGAAGTTAATGTATACCGCCGCGACGCGGGACTAAATGGCGGCGGTTTCAGTTTTGAGAGAAGGATGCGATTGGTCAGCGTGAATTGCGGCGGCAGCAGCAGCAGCAGCCCCAGCCGCCAATGCAGCGCCGTTTCGCGCCAAGCGCAAAGATCGGCGCTCTCTCTCCGCCATCGCCGCTACGGAACGACGATTGGTCCGTTGCGAAGCATTCCCCAACCCCACTGCAGCCTCCTTTCACTCCCCCCAACCGCTCTGCCCCTCAGCAGCAGAAGTTCCTGCGGCGGACTCAAAAAGGAGAGTGGCTTCAGAGGGGCCTGCGCGCGGGCCGGCGCGAATGTGGACACGAGTGCGACGGCGACGGAGGAGAAAACGGGAGGTGCGGGCGCGGACACGGAGGAGGAGGAGGCAAGTGCCAGCGGGGCAGTGAATGGCGATGAGGCAGGGCAGCAGGCGAGCAGAACGGGCAAGGGAAAGCAGAAGGGGGATGTGAAGGCGACTGAGAAGAGGAAAGGGAAGGGGAAGGGAGAGGCGGTGAAGCTGATGCTGCACAACACGATGAGTCGGAGCAAGGAGGAGTTTGTACCGCTGCGGGCTGGGCACGTGGGCATGTATGTGTGCGGTGTGACTGTATACGATTACAGTCACATCGGACATGCCCGCGTGTACGTCTCTTTCGACGTCCTCTACAGGTGGGTGAGTGTGTGTGTGTGTGTCCTCTGCATGCCTATATTATGCCCCAGGATGCCTCTTCTGCTCTCCTCTCTCTTTGACTTCCTCGTCTGCCCAGGTCGTTTTTCCAGTCTGCTTGTAAACTTGATGATGCTGGTGATGACGATGACAATGATTATTTGAAGCTATTGTTCTTATTACTGCGAGCAACTGAAAACATCGATGTGTGTTTTGCCATCTGTGCCCTGATGTGCCCCCATATGTCCCCGTACCGTATGCTCCTTTGTGCACCCATGTGCGCCTGGCTCGCTCTCTCTGTGTTGCCATGTCACCAGGTACTTGCAGCACATGGGGTATGACGTCACCTACGTGCGCAACTTCACTGATGTTGACGACAAGGTCTGTTCCCTTCCCATGCACGCACCTGCTGCTCCTCCTCCTCCTCCTCCTCCTCCTCCTCCTCCTCCTGCTCCCCCTCCTCCTCCTCCTCCTCCTCCTCCTCCTCCTCCTCCTCCTCCTCCTCCTCCTCCTCCTCCTCCTCCTCCTCCTCCTCCTCCTCCTCCTCCTCCTCCTCCTCCTCATCCTGCTGCTGCTGCTGCCGCCGCCGCCGCTGCCGCCACAGCTGCAGCAGCGTTGCTTCTCTCGGACCCTTCCGTTCGTTTCATTCACCAACGATCTGTGTCCGTCTCTCGGACCCTGCACCTTCTCTCTCTCTTCCCCACCTCCCCGCCTCAGATCATCAAGCGCGCGTTAGACCTGGGCGAGGATCCGCTGCATCTGAGCCGTCGGTTCATCACGGAGTTCCATGCGGACATGCATGCGCTGGGGTGCCTGCCCCCCACGCATGAGCCCAAGGTGTCCGAGCACATCCCCGACATCATCCACATGATCCAACAGGTGCGCTCCCATGCTCCTCGTCATGCCATGCTGCACCATGGTACCATGTTCATGCCATGCCATCTCATCCCATACCATCCCATCCCATGCCATACCATACCATACCATACCATACCATACCATACCATACCATACCATACCATACCATACCATACCATACCATACCATACCATACCATGCCATACCATACCATACCATACCATACCATGCCATACCATACCATACCATACGATACCATACCATACCATACCATACCATACCATACCATACCATACCATACCATACCATACCATACCATACCATACCATACCATACCATGCCATGCCATGCCATGCCATACCATACCATACCATACCATACCATGCCATACCATACCATACCATGCCATGCCATGCCATGCCATACCATACCATACCATACCATACCATACCATACCATACCATACCGTACCATACCATGCCATACCATGCCATACCATACCATACCATACCATACCATACCATCATACATCCAACCGCCCATGCCGTGCCATGCCCACTTGCACTGCCACTCCACGCCATGCCCCTCCTTCTCCATACCTCCACCCCCCCTCCACCCCGTCCTCACCTCCCATCCTCTCCTCTCTTGCTCTCTTTCCCCAGATAGTGGATTCGGGTGCCGGTTATGTTGTGGATGGCGGGGATGTCTTCTTCGATGTGGACAAAGCGGAGGGGTATGGCCAGCTGTCGGGGCGGCGGCAGGAGGAGAACCGGGCGGGCGAGCGGGTGGCAGTGGACGAGAGGAAGAGGAACCCGGCTGACTTCGCCCTCTGGAAGGTGGGTGATGTGCTGCGTGCTGTTCTGCGTGCTGTTCTGCGTGCTGTTCTGCGTGCTGTTCTGTGTGCTGTTCTGCGTGCTGTTCTGCGTGCTGTTCTGCGTGCTGTTCTGCTTGCTGTTCTGCTTGCTGTTCTGCTTGCTATCCTATTTGCTGTGCTGGCTCAAGATGTGAGGCGTTTCAAAAACTCGACAGATGACACGATTTGTTGGCCGCCTCGGAAATCCTCTGTGGAAGATGCGCGTTGTGCTGTGCGCGTTGTGCTGACTGCTGGTTGCTGACTGGCACACCCCACCCCTTTCCCACACTCCACTCCCACATCCCATCCTATTCCCTCGACCTCACCGCACCCCATGCCCCAACATCTACCTCAACCCCCCACACCGTCACCACACCATGCCCTCATGCCTCTGCCGATCCTCTCCCCCTGCTGAACCTCTCCCTGTGCCGAACCTCTCTCCCTTCTCTCTGCAGAGTGCCAAGCCGGGCGAGGTGTCATGGGCCAGTCCGTGGGGTGCGGGGCGGCCGGGGTGGCACATAGAGTGCAGCGCCATGAGCAAGCGCTACCTGGGCTTCCGATTCGACATTCCACCCCTTTCCAACACCCCACTCCCACATCCCATCCTATTCCCCTGCCCGCGCCGTCCCACCCTACCCCCCTGCCTCAACATCACCCCTAGCCCTCGCACCCACACCACACCATCCCCTCATGCCCCTTCCGAACCTCCCTTCCTGCCTCTCCCCCCTCTTCTCCTCCAGAGTGCCAAGCTGGGCGAGGTGTCGTGGGCCAGTCCGTGGGGCGAGGGGCGGCCGGGGTGGCACATAGAGTGCAGCGCCATGAGCAAGCGCTACCTGGGCTTCCGATTTGACATCCACGGGGGTGGGCGCGACCTCATCTTCCCGCACCATGAGAACGAGCTCGCTCAGAGCAAAGCTGCGGCGGCTGCGGCTGCTGCGGCGACGGCGGCTGCTGCTGGTGATGATGCTGTTCAGGCACAGCAGCATGTGCATGAGCAGCAGCAGGAGGGGTGTTTGCACTGCGCAGGGGAGCATGGCAGTGAGGAGGGGGAGGCGGCGTGTGGGGTGTCGGTGTGGCTTCACAACGGCTTTGTGAACGTGGACTCGGAGAAAATGTCCAAGTCCCTTGGGAACTTCTTCACCATCCGCGAGGTAAGTCAGCTGACTTGTGAGATGGTCGCAAGGCATGTGAGTCTTTATAGACATCTATTGGGAATTCTTAAGAGTTGTGAACGTGGGCTCGGAGAAGATGTCCAAGTCCCTTGGGAACTTCTTCACCGTCTGCGAGGTAAGCCGACTTCTGAGGCGTCTCGAAGCTTTCAAGCTTTGGGACGTCTTTTGAGATGTCTCGAAGTTGTGAATGTGGACTCAGAGAAGAGATGTCCAAGCGAAGTCCCTTGGGAACTTCTTCACCATCCGCGAGGTCTGCTGCACTGTGCACTGCCCTCCTTTGATGCACCATGGGGGGAAGGGGGCAGTGTGGGGGAGAGGGAGGAGGTGAGGGGGAGGGGGGGAGGAATGGGGTTCATCAGCAGAACGTTACCTTGCTTGCTCCCTCGCCCTCGTTACCCTACCCTTCCCGCTGTCCTCCTCATCACTCTCCCCTCCCCACATCCTCCTCCTTCCGACTCTACTCCCAATTCTCAATCCTCGCCTTCCGTCCTATCCCACCCCACGCTCGATACCACAGCAGGAGCTTTTAAGAATCTCTGAAAGTGACTCGAATTGCTACCACGCTCGGTTGAAAGTGGCAGTGTGCTGGTCCCTCCTCTGTTTCACACGCCTCAAAGCCGGCCCTCCACGTGCCACGCACCAGTTTTGCGTCGACTTTCAAGTTCACAACCCCCCCACCTCCCCACTCCCCCCTCCCCTCCCCTCCCCGCCCCTCGCTTCTCTGCACGGCAGGTGCTGGATCGTTTCCACGCGGTGGCAGTGCGGTGGTTCCTGCTGAGCACGCACTACCGCTCGCCCATCAATTACAGTGACCGCCAGCTCGACCGCGCCTCTGACCGCGTCTTCTACCTCTACCAGGTGATGAAGGCTCGATTGGGTCTCCCCCTTTCAGCCGGGCCGAAACATATTTGTCCTTGTTTTACTCTACTGCTGAGATTTGGGCTTTGAGAATCGCTTGAGCACTTAGTTTTACAGAGCATTTTACCACTGTGGTTCATTTGCTTAAGCCTAGGCTACACAACTGCTGCTCTCTGAGAAGCACGACTGAACAACAGTTATCAACTACAGCGACCGCCACCTCGACTGTGCCTCTGACCTCTACCAGGCCCGTGCTGATCCATACTTATGCCAAACCGGAGATATGCCAAACTGACTCTGTGCCAAACTAGGTTTGTGCCAAATCGATTTTGTGCGAAACCAGGTATGTGAGAAAAACGGCTCCCCTTCTCACTCGCACTGACGCACTCCCCTCCTCTCATGGCCCAACTTCCCCCTCTCGTGGCCCAACTTCCCCCTCTCAATCCATCCAGCTCTTGGCCGACTGTGAAGCCGCCAACAGCCAACAGCAGCAGCAGGTCTCGTCCAGTGCAGGCGCATCCAAGCCTCCTGCGCCGGCCAAGGCAGCGGTAACAGCAGCAGCGCAGGTGTGGTTGGCGGCAGCAGCAGCGCTGGCGGACGATCTACACACGGCGCAGGCAGTGGCGAGTCTCTCAGAGCCCCTCAAGCTCATGGCGGACCTGCTGGGGGCCAAGAAGGTCCGTCACTGCGCACTCGCCCACATGCACGCACACATACACATGCACAGTGGCGGTACATGGGTGGGGATGGGGGTTGGGGGGAGAGGTTGGTGGGGGAAAGGGGAGTGGTTGGTGCATGTGAGGTTGATACGCAGAATGCTTTCACCTACCATCGCGCGCTCTGCTGTTTTTATCCGTGCTTTCTCCCATCAACACGCTCCCAAGCTCATGTGCTGCCTGTCTGTCCATTCTTCGGTTTCACCCTGTGTCCTCTCTGCCCTCTCTGCACCTTCTCTGTCCTCTCTGTCCTCTCTGCCCTCTCTGCCCTCTCTGTCCTCTCTGCCCTCTCTGTCCTCTCTGCCCTCTCTGTCCCCTCTGCCCTCTCTGTCCTCTCTGCCCTCTCTGCACGTGCTGTGCCCATGGCAGTACAAGAAGGATCCCAGCAGGCTGCCATCGCTCATGGTGCTGCAGGAATCGGTGCTCTCCGTGCTCGCCCTCCTCGGCCTCCCCACCACTGGATTCTCCCCGGTTAGTCTCCACCACCGTTCTGCACCACCTCCCACCAGTATCTATCCCTAGCATCCATCTCTAGCAAGTGTCTCAAGCAGCGGTAGTTTCCAGCACCTGCACGCAGCGACTGCAAGAACTCACTCGCAGCAACTGTCTGCCTTGATCATTCACTCTTTCAATTCGCTTGCTGATCCTTCCTGCTCCCTCGCTCTCGCTCGCCGTGTCTCCCTTCCCCGCCTTCTCCATGCCAGCTGCTGGAGGAGCTGAAGCAGCTGGCGCAGCCTTGTGCCTTGGTCATTCACTCTCTCACTACTCTTGCTGAACCCTCTCACTGGCTTGCCGGACCCTCTCTCCCGCACACTCTCCTTTTCACTGCGCCTCCTCTCTTTCCCCTCTTATCCCCACCGCAGCTGCTGGAGGAGCTGAAGCAGCTGGCGCTGAAACGGGCAGGGATGAGCGCAGAGCAGGTGCAGGGGATGTTGGAGCAGCGCGATGAGGCGAGGAAGGCCAAGGACTTTGCGCAGTCGGATGCGATTCGCGATGAGCTGGCCCTCGTGGGAATCATGCTCATGGACACCCCTGCTGGCACCGCCTGGAGGCCTGCTGCCATTTCCGTGCAGGATGATACGGATGAATCTGGCGGGCTGGTGTGATGACAATAGAAATTATGGGCGATGTGTTGAGATGGCGACATGGTGCGAGAGATGTGGAGATGGAGGGGAGGAGAGTTGAGAAAGAAGGAAGGCTGAGTCAAATGATTGAGATCAGCCTATGAAAGCTGATGCTAAGATGTGATTGTGAGCCCAGGGGAAGTGAAATGATGAGAATGATTCGTCGTTGGTGATTTTTTTATATCTATGAATAATGGTGGTGTAACATTTACAAAATCGTACGTCAGCAAATTGCCGTCTGTCATTCATTGCCCTTAGTGTCATCTGCGAGGTTCGTTCACATTCGCACCATTCATTCCAGCCGCGTCAGCAGCAGCAACACCATGCTTGTTCCCTCGCCCCCACCTGTTTAGTTGCGCTGCGCCTGAACTCGTCGTAACTCACATTCCGAGTCTATTCTCTCTTCTTTCTCGTTCAACCGTCTTTGCGCCGGAGAGACAAAGACAATCTACGAAACTGCTGACGGACGATTCAAAAAATCGCTGAACGAACAGGTCCGATAACCATTCCTTTCGACGATTCATTCAAACGTTTCTCCTCTTCAACTCTCTCTCTCTTCCAACTCCGCCGCTCCTCCCGCCATGTGTCGGCCGCAAGTGGACCGCCCGCTAGCCGCGCTATCGCTGCTGCACCACCAGCTGCAGCAGCGCCGCCAGCCATGGTTAGCGCCCGACTGGTCCCCGCCGGAATCCGTGCCGGACGAGGCGGAGGCCGCCGCGGCGTGGCTGCGCTTCCAGCGGCGCCGCGTGCGGCTGCTGACGCGCCGAATGCGCTTCCTGCTGCTGCTGCTGCTCACGCTGGGCGTGCTGCAGATCTTCCTGGGTGCATACGTGTCGTTCTGCTTCCACGTGGCTGTCGCTAAGCACCGCGCGAGGTGACTGCTGGCGGATGGGACGCAAAATGGGGGAATAGGTGGCGGGGGGGGGGGGGGGGGGGAGGGGAGAGGAGGAGGGAGGTTATGGGGAAGTATGGCGGGGATGATGGGGGAAGTAGAGGGGAACAGCGGGAGAAGCAGCGCACAGGCGCGACGTGTTACAGCCAGCATAGGCCTGGCCTCGTGGACAGGAACCTTCACAGAATGAGATGAACAGACAGCATGACACACTCTAAACCCACCTTCTTGCTGTCCAATCATTTTCTCCACCTTTTCCCATGGTTCCCATCATTCAACGGTTGCCACTGCTCTGTGTGTGTGTGTGTGTGTGTGTGTGTGTGTGTGTGTGTGTGTGTGTGTGTGTGTGTGTGTGTGTGTGTGTGTGTGTGTGTGTGTGTGTGTGTGTGTGTGTGTGTGTGTGTGTGTGTGTGTGTGTGTGTGTGTGTGTGTGTGTGTGTGTGTGTGTGTGTGTGTGTGTGTGTGTGTGTGTGTGTGTGTGTGTGTGTGTGTGTGTGTGTGTGTGTGTGTGTGTGTGTGTGTGTGTGTGTGTGTGTGTGTGTGTGTGTGTGTGTGTGTGTGTGTGTGTGTGTGTGTGTGTGTGTGTGTGTGTGTGTGTGTGTGTGTGTGTGTGTGTGTGTGTGTGTGTGTGTGTGTGTGTGTGTGTGTGTGTGTGTGTGTGTGTGTGTGTGTGTGTGTGTGTGTGTGTGTGTGTGTGTGTGTGTGTGTGTGTGTGTGTGTGTGTGTGTGTGTGTGTGTGTGTGTGTGTGTGTGTGTGTGTGTGTGTGTGTGTGTGTGTGTGTGTGTGTGTGTGTGTGTGTGTGTGTGTGTGTGTGTGTGTGTGTGTGTGTGTGTGTGTGTGTGTGTGTGTGTGTGTGTGTGTGTGTGTGTGTGTGTGTGTGTGTGTGTGTGTGTGTGTGTGTGTGTGTGTGTGTGTGTGTGTGTGTGTGTGTGTGTGTGTGTGTGTGTGTGTGTGTGTGTGTGTGTGTGTGTGTGTGGTGTGTGTGTGTGTGTGTGTGTGTGTGTGTGTGTGTGTGTGTGTGTGTGTGTGTGTGTGTGTGTGTGTGTGTGTGTGTGTGTGTGTGTGTGTGTGTGTGTGTGTGTGTGTGTGTGTGTGTGTGTGTGTGTGTGTGTGTGTGTGTGTGTGTGTGTGTGTGTGTGTGTGTGTGTGTGTGTGTGTGTGTGTGCGCGCGCGTGCGCGCGTGCGCGCGCGCGCGCGCGTGTGGGTGTGTGTGCGTGTGCGTGTGCGTGTGCGTGTGTGTGTGCGTGTGTGTGTGTTTGTGTGTTTGTGTGTGTTTGTGTGTGTTTGTGTGTGTGTGCGTTCGTGCGTGTGTGCGTGTATGTGTGCGTGTGCGTGTGCGTGTGTGTGTGTGTGCGTGTGTGTGTGCATGCGTGCGTGTCCCCTCGCAGAAACCAGGAGCTACAGCAGGCGCTGGTGCGGGCAGGGGAGGCGTGGGAGTGGCAGCAGCAGTGGTGGGCGTGGAGCAAGCGGGAGAAGGCGAGAGGGAGAGGAGCAGGGCGAGGCAAGGACAGGGGTGAGGCGGCGCTGGGACTGCCTACTGCCTCCCGCCCTGGCAGGTCCCTGCTTACTCTTGAATCCGCTCTCAATGCCGTGCCGATGACGCTACCTGGGGATGCTGCTGCTGCTGCTGCTGCTGTTGCTGATGATGATGTTTTTCAAGTCGATGCTGGCGGTGGTGCTGCTGCCGATGCCTGCGCTCCCGTCAGTACTCCCACTGATGCTCGCCACTGTAACGTCAGCTCGTATGCCTCTCATCACCACTGTCACCTGCAGCATCATGCCGCCGCCCCTACTGTTGCGCTCTCGGGCCCCTGCTCCTGGGAGGGAGGCTCCAACCACCCGGGCCTACAGCAGCTGCTGGTCTCAGCTGCAGCAGGCACGGCGGCGAGGCAGCATCAAGAAAGGCAGGGGGATCAGGAGGAACGCGAGCAGGGTGGGGAGGTGGTGTGCTCTGGGTTGGTAGCGGGAGGGGAGGAATCTAGGTGCTGGGGTGCATGGGAGCAGACGGACTCGTTAGGGGACTGCTGGTGGGAGGAGTCAGCAGCAGGTTGCTTGCTGGATGGACCTCTCACATGCAGGGGTAGTGGCAGCAGCAGCAGCAGCAGCAGCAGCAGCAGCAGCAGTTGCAGTGCGAGCAGCACAATTCAGACCTTTCACATGCCTTCTCAACCCCTAGCAACATGCCCTGTACCTGCCACGCCCGCGCTCTCCTCTCTCCTCTGCCCGTCTCCTCCCCAACTGCAGTACACCCTATCGTGATGCACACTTGCTCTGCTGCCAACCTCCCCTTCCCACTCATTGCACCAGTGTCTCATCCATGCAATTGGCTTCAACTCACACACGAGCCACGAGCCACGAGCCACGAGCCACGAGCCATGAGCCATGAGCCATGAGCCATGAGCCATGTGCCATGAGCCATGAGCCATGAGCCATGAGCCATGTGCCATGTGCCACATGTGCATGTTCCCTTGTGGCAAAGCCATAGGCTTTAGGTAGTAATCAGGTCGGTGTATGACCCATGTATCATAGTGTAGTGTAGGTGATGGTTGGTAGGCAGTTACGCCCATGGATTCACCAAGCAAGTAAGCACAGCACATGTATTTGTTGTATGATCATCTCATGCACTTAGGTCATGTTTTAGATCATCAAGTGAACCGGGTAAGCCAACTGGTGCACTGATCCAAACGCATATCAACGCAGTAAGAATCTGAGACCAATACATACACCCTTGCCATGACGCATCAACAACACGTCAATTCTGAATTGCCTGCCGTACTATGGTAGTGCAATGAGGAACACCTTTCCTCAAAGAGCCTCCCGCCACCAACCAACCCACTGTGAGGTGCTCTGTCCGCCCTGTCCACCCCGTCTTTCATTCCGCTCCGCTCCACGATTCGCCAGCGGCACCTCCCCCAGTTTCTCCCTTCCTGGCCCGGCTCAAGCCATTCTGGCCTCAGCAGCAGCCTTACAACCTGTGATCCCTGTTCCAAAACGCCTCGCAAAACCCGTCCCGTGTTCCCGCTGCCGTCAATTCTCCCTGCGCGCTCAAGCAAGGTGACCTATGAGTCGATTCAAAAGTCAACCCTTCCCGCTTTCCCGCTCCCGTCAGTTGTCTTTGGGCACTTGAGCCAGAGCTACGTGTAAAAACAGAGTTGCTTTGAGACGTCTCAAGCACCCAAAGACAAAGACAAAGACAGCTCTGTTTTGAGCTGCGCTCCCGTCAGTTGTCCTTGGGCGCTTGGGCCAGAGCTGCACGCTCGAAATCAGCAGCAGCTGTTTCCGTCTCCGGGACGAGCAGCATGCGGGCCACTATGGCCGGGGGCAGGGCGAATGTGTCCACTGCTGCTGCTGCCAGCAACGACACCTCTTCTGGTGCTCGCACACTCGCCACCAGCACCCGCGTCGCACTGCCCGCTGCTGACACCGCTTGCTGTGAGGGATGGGAGTGGGAGGGGGGTTTGAAATGGGGTTTGCAATGGGGTTTGACATGGGGTTTGACAGGGGGGTTGAAATGCTGCCAGCAACGACACCTCCTCTGGTGCTCTCACACTCGCCACCAAGAGGAGGTGTCATTGCTGACACCGCTTGCTGTAAGATCCGGCCGAGAGTGGGAGCGGGAAAGGGGATGGAAAGTAAGCGGCAAGAAGGGTGTGGGTGGGGTGGCAGGGCTGCTCGCGAGAGGACTGCTGTGTGTGTGTGTGCTGTGAATGTGTGTGGCATGCCGAGCATGACATGGGGGGCATTGGGTAGCATTGGGTGGCATTGGGTGGCATTGGGTGGCATTGGGTGGCATTGGGTGGCATTGGGTAGCATTGGGTGGCAATGGGTAGCATTGGGTGGCATTGGGTGGGATTGGGTGGCATTGGGTGGCATTGGGTAGCATTGGGTAGCATTGGGTAGCATTGGGTAGCATTGGGTGGCATTGGGTGGCATTGGGTGGCATGGCACATACTTGCATGGCGATGATTTCAGCCTTGCCGTCTTTACCCAGGGCGTCCATTCGCCCCAGGTATGGTGCTGCATACTGCGCCCCCACTCCCTGGGCCAGCAGCACCTGGTGCATGCACTCGGGGACAGGGAGAGGAAGGGCGGGGGAGAGGGGATGAGTTTTGGGTCGACTCAAAAGTCATCTCTGCGCCCCCACTCCCTGGGCCAGCAGCACCTGGTGCTTGCACTCGGGGACGGGGAAAGGAAGGGCGGGGGAGACGGGATGAGCGCGTGTGATGTGTGCATGCATGGTTGGCGCATAGGGGAAGGAAGCAAGGGAGGCCCTGTGGATGCAAGGGAGGCCCTGTGGATGCAAGGGAGGCCCTGTGGATGCAAGGTTGGTGAAGAGGAGAGGTGGTGCGGTGTGTAGGGGCGAGTTGTCAGCGGCAGACGGTCATGGTGACGATGAATCATGGTGACGATGAATCATGGTGACGATGAGTCATGGTGACAATGAATCATGGTGACAATGTATCATGGTGACAATGAATCATGGTGACAATGAATCATCGTGACAATAAATCATGGTGACAATGAATCATGGTGACAATGAATCATGGTGACAATGAATCAAGGTGACTTCTGAGTTAAATCAAAAGTCACCTCGATGAATCATGATGAGCAGCAGCAACACACCAGCACAGAGTGCAGGTTCAGAGGTGGTGAGAAGCTGGAAAGCTGGAAACGACGAGTGTGATTCAGCATGGAGGTGCCTTTGTGGGTATGTGCATGTGTGTGTGGATGAGTGTATATGAGGGCATGGCATGGCATGGCATGGCACCTGGTGTGAGGCATAGACGGCAGTGAGGGTGACTCGGAAGCCCCATGTGGAGATGAGCTGCCGTGCTGCCTGGATGCCAGTCATTGTCGCTGGAATCTTGATCTGCCACCCGTCCCCACAAACATGAAGGTTGCACATGCACAGAGCCGCAGCACCAGCACTTGAGTAAAGCAAAGCAAACCCCTCCCAAGGCACATAGCGACTTCAGACCAGACCTTGGTACTATGCTATGTGCCTTAGTATCCTTGGCTATCCTTGGCAGGCCAGAGCCAAATTATCCCATTGGGGTGAAAGATCTTGCAATACTAGGCCGAACGATAGTGCCAGAGAGGTCAAAACAGCAGGCAGAAAGCCTGTGAAGGTGGGTACAAGCAAGCAGAGAGGTCACAGCTGCAGGGCAGCACGGCAGAGCGGCAGGAGAGCAAGGCAGCAGTGGGGTTGTCTAGAAGGCTGACCACGACACGACTTTTGAGGCGCATGAAAAGACAGCAAGGCAGCAGAGGGGGTGTTTAGAAGGCTGACCACGACGCGGGGATCGATGATGCCGAGGCGTTTCCCCGTTTCCACCATTTCGTCCACCGTGGCTCCCCATGTCTGTAGCTGTATCTCCTGCGCTCCCTGCTCTCCTCCCCGTGGGGTGCGCCGCACACACACACATGCACACACACACACACATGCACGCACACACACACATGAACGTACGCACGCACGCACACACACACACACACACACACACACACACACACACACACACACGCACACACACACACGCACGCGCGCACACACAACGCCAAATGCATGGCGTGCCGCAACGGGGGGGTGGGAAAGGGGGGGCGGTGGTGGGAAGGCGGGCAATGGGGCATGCACATAACAGCAGAATGAGGATGAGGGATGGGCGATGGGGGAATGAGGATGAGGGATGGTTGTGGGGGATAGAACAGTGAGAGGTGAGGGAAGGATTATGTGCGGAAGAGGAAGCAAGTCCTGAAATAAGGCAAGAAGAACGTAAGGAGGGGGAAGGGGGTGAAGGAGAGGGGGAGCAGGATCGTGAATTAGAGACCACGATAGAAAGACAGAGAGAGGGGGAGTGAGGGAGCGTGGGAGGCGGGGTGGGTGGTGAAGAGAAGAGAAGAGAAGAGCAGGGCGGAGTTGTGCGGTCTGGTTTGGTTTGGTTGCGACTGACCAAGCCAAATGCGGTGTGAGCCAGCTCCGCTAGTGCGTCCACAGAGCACTCGCTCCCTGCCCGCTCCAGAAGCAGCGGATTCGTTGTGACTCCTGAGTGCGGGTGGAGAGGAGCGCATTGGATTCGAATCATAGGGAATGGGACGGTGAGATGATATAGGAGAGGGAGAGGAAGAGGAGGAGAGAGAGGGGGGAAGAGCGGGGGAAGAGCAGGGGAGGGGGAGGGGCGAAGGGGGAGAGGGGAGGGAGAAAGGGGGAGGTATGAGAGGAGAGGGAGGGACACAACAAGCCTCATTCTTCACTGATCGGAGTGGGACAAACAGAAAAGAACAGAACAGAACAGAACAGAACAGAACAGAACAGGACAGGATAAAACAGCAACGAAATGGAACGGAGTGATAGTGCACGCTCAACACGCACCAATCGAGTCAGCTGGCTTTCGAGAATTCTCAACAACCAGCTCACGGCTCACCATGGAAGATGCCCGTAGGGAGCCATTTCTCCCATTCCGCCACGTCAGCAGTGTCCAGAAACAATCTCAGCCGTCCCCTACCCAGCGCCAGCAGTCTCTGCCCTAGGACCGACCGATCATTCGCGATTCCGCCACCGCCAGGCGAAGCAGCCGCGGAGGCGGAAACTTCGAGGGTGGTGTGGCGGCCAGCGAGGGGAGAGTCCGCCATGAGTGCGGGAGGAGCGGTGGGGATGAGCGGGCGGGAATTGCGGAAATGGTGGCGGGTCAGCCTCCCTCGTTGGCTGAAATCCTGCTGGTATTGCTGTGTCTGCTGACGTGAAACGAACGGAGCTGCAGCTTTCGGAAGGGAGAGGTACGCAACAGAAACAATGGCAACTCCGGGAAGCACGGCCATGGATGGGCAGGAGGAAGGACTGAAAGGAAAGGTGTAAGGGAGTGTTAGGGCATCGAGTAGCATCGGGGCTGGAAGAAATCAATTGGCTTGGCAGCGAGTCAGTGCCCGCTAAAACATTCTTCGCCAATTAGCACTTGTCCGCAACACAAGAGAAGTACATACAATAAAAACAGCTGTAGCACATATGAAAAGAGAATTACTTGGTGTTGAGCTATGATTCGTGTACATGTTTAAGATGATAAAGAATTGTACTGGATAATGAATCGTAAAAAAAACTAGTTACCTGAACATTTTTTCGTTTCTATTATCTACAAGGAGAAAGGCAATGTATGTTTTTTTCCAAATTCCTTATCGGGTTTGACTGCTACGCTTACAGCCCGAATTTTGGACTTTGCACGTTCGGCTGAGGCTCCTCGCGTCGCCTCCGGCATTTTGGTCGCCAAACCTGCACCCAACCTCGTTCCCCGAGGTTCCCTCCTAGCTAGGGTAGCAACTATAATAGCACATGCTTTCATTGCATTGTCAGTTCGATCACTTTCTCGACATTCTTTATTCTGAGCACTCTCTTTTACAGCTCATAACAGGAACCGCAGCATCGTTACAAACGGAATTTGTTGCGGAAGCCTGACAGAAACTTGAGCAACCCGCTGAATGAGATCACCTCATACGTATCAAATTCCGATCAGGTCGATGGCATGGCGTCCAGCAAGGCATGGACCAGGTGTTGGGTGAAGGAGGTTGGCAGGGAAGATGAATGTGCATTGAAAGTATTCCCGCCACGTCGCGCATGCCGATTGGGGCAGCCCGGCCGACCAGTCGCCGCAGATTTACCGAATAATCGATCGCGATCTTTTCCTCCGCGTATCAAAGCGCAATTGATTCGAACCTGTGAAATATGTTGCACTCCAACCTAGATACAGTCAGGCTGTTTCCAAACCCTCAATAGTACGCTTCTAGGAAAGTTGCTGTTTTTGTCTGCATGTAGGAATTCTTTACCTGAGAGATCTAGCAGCCGCTGGACCCTAGATTTCCACCCAAACGGTTATGACCAACGGTGTTTTTACATTGGATAATGCACTTTCACATAAAAACAAATAGAGATTCCACCAAAAATAATGATATAAACCCAAATGTCCACCAAGCACATCCATATATAGCGCCCCTCTAGCATCCTGCTTATTGGCCTCATGATCTGATTATTCTACGTCCAAACCCCTATCATATAGCTAGCTCGTAACAGAATCGGAAGAGCATGTACTCGTTAGAGAGTCACAATCACCGCAGCCGTAAAACACCCAACCTTAATATAGTCATAGTGTTCTATTTTTTTACACAATTTCCAATCACTACATTCAGGTAAACCTCCTATTTTTGCGTTATCCATCATTGAAAAACATCTACGCAGGTATAAAAATCATCGAAGAAAAATAGAATTAATACGTGATTTCACATAATTTGCTATTTTAATATTTCATAAAAAAAGCCCCTATTATTATGAAAAATGACAATATTAAAGATATGTAAAAAATATAACCAATATATAAACTATATAGTGTAATGATATTTTCTGAAATAATGAGTGAACGGAAACACCAAAATTATATTAGTATGGCCAGAACATTTTGTTTGCGTGATCCAGCCCTTTCAAATACCAGATAGTATGTATTACTATATGGTGCAAAAAAAATCGCCGACTAATCTGTACTATGTACAGATTACGTTGTAGACGGTCAGATATGATCTGGATTAGATTCTATGCTTGGTGCGGTTGCTGTCTCTATGGGAGAAGCAATTGCCCATGCGGTAATCAATCCACGCAATGCCAGCCCAATGATTCCCTAATCTCTAGCCTCCGCACTGTTGCACCCTCTACCCGCCTCCGTCAAACCCCAAGACACGGCGTCGGCGGCATCCCGTCTTGTGCATGAATGTATGTTCCTTCCTCAACCCTCGAAGATTCGCAATCAGAACAAGGGTTCTCGAACCCGGAAGCGAAGTTCTTCGGGTCTAGATAATATGCTTACAGAAGTTTGAGGTCTGCTTTCTCCAGTCCTCCCACGATCCAGCTTCATTACTACAGATCGTAAACAAAAGGAGGCCATCCTAAACGTGGGACTATCACAGATAACAGCCACGAAGTTTTTTTGTGGGTTAGTGCTGTTTGCTATGCGCGAGAGTCACTACCATTTTGTCAAAATTACGCACGTGAGTACACTTTCTTTTGTGAAGCACCCTCGGTCCTTTTTTTGCGCCACCTCTAATTTGGTCTGCTTCATAATTCTTCTGGATCACCTTCCACAAATCCACCATGTCAGCAGCAGTTGCCCTCATTGGTCCCGTCCCGCCCGACCACAACACACCACACCACCGCATTTCTCTCCATCCACATCAAGTTTAGTTTGGGCAAACCAACGTTGCCAGTGCCACCCACTCAACTCAGTGAAACACAACCCTCACCTCACAACCTTTCTCCGCGGCCCCCTGCACCCTCAACACTGTGTTCTTCTCCCTCTACTGTGTGTCCACGGTACCTTCTGGGGGCAGAGCAGAGCACTCACTTCTGCTCACACCTTTCTCAACAACCTACTTGAGCTCTCCTTGATTTCCTGGCGGATTCCTTTCATGTCTTCAGGTCAGTCTCTCTTTGCCCTGCGAGCCTTCCCACTTGCTCATTTTCCCCTCTTGAAGCTAGCAAAAAAGGAAGAAAGAGCAGCAACCTGAGCCGTCCTTCGTTCTGGTGCTACTAGTACCAGTGGACATTTCCCATTCGTGACCAAGCTAAACTACTTCGCATTGTTTTGGATGTACCACCGCACTAACTTAATATTTCACCTAGTTACGTTTCTGGTGGCGTTACAGCCCAGAGTGTACGACTGTTGCCACGCACCTACAACTTAGGTCTAACGTGCAGTGGCTCCCGCATCTATCAACTTAGGTCAAACGAACTCTTCCCTTTCGTTTCGACTAGTAACCCGTCAGGTTCTGCCGCCAGCGTAAATTGATTGTTGCCAGCCACATCGCGTAAGGTCTCCGTATACTGCACACGAGCCACTGGCATCTGGCACCCGTATAGCCCGTCGTGCCATCAGTGCGAGCACGGTAGCCGGTCGACCGTGGCCACCAACCGGCGGCAGCGGCCGTAGCAGAAGCAGCGGGAGGAGCGATGGCTGTCTAGGGATCTGCCGGCCCGCGGCCGCGAAACCATGAGTTGCCGTTGGCACATCTGCAACATCATCCGTGTCAATATTATTTCTAGTAACGCGCAGCACTAACGCGGTTTAGGGTGCGCCGCCACGCATGACGCAGCCAGCGCCGCAGTCGCCGGCGAGCGGCATTGCCGCGATCGCCCATTGATCTGACGCGGCATTGTCTCTGCTGCCACTGGCAATAATCCTCTACGATTTCCGTCTGTGGGGGCATCTGGAAGGGCAATAACTTATTGCTGCCTAGTCGGCCGCCCTAATTCAGCTTAAGTCGGAATAGCGATACTACGGCGTACAAGTTAGCAGCGGTAACACCGAGGGTGCTAGGTCGCGGTAGTAGTAAGCGTACTAGGCCGAAGAAAGTGCGACAGAACTCGATACAAGGCAAGGAAAAGAGCGACATTACTCGATACTACAATTTCAACCTCAACCGCGAGAAAGTGCGCCGAGAAGGGGCGCGATATGGCGGTGTCGCGGGCGGAGATGGAGGGCCTATCGAAGGAGCAGCTGGTGGAGGAGGTGCTGAGGCTGTCCGCCCTGGTGGAAGAGCGCGAGAGGCACCAGAAGCAGGAAGGTACGCGCCTTTACGGCAAGCCACTGCATTGGCAGGAATTCGGGGCACTGATAGTTGTTGGCTACGAACCACTCCAACAATAGTAACATCCATATCATGAAATATTTCTTTCCTTCTGGATGCTTCCGAGGGAACCGGAAAGGCTTGTTGTTGGAGAGATGCTATTTAGCAAGGAGGAAGGAATGCCTCGGGGTACTTAGGTTTGCTTCCCGGCTCAATATCTTCCTGTGAACGTTGATGCCCTTTCCCCTTGCCGTTTTCCTTTCCCCCTCTCCCGGGCTCTCTCGATAAACCACGCACCACCACCATCCAAGTCTGCCCGCCGAGGCTGTCGCTCTGCCCGCACGCTCCACACAAACAGTCTCTCATTCTTTCTCACTCACTCGTCCCCCACCCCTTCTCCTCTCTCGGCATTTGTGTGTGTGCAGTGGATTTCCAGCGGGATCTTCTCAAGTCAGTGGGACAATCTATCATAGTCACGGATCTAGAGGGCCACATCACTTATTGGTATGCCACGTCGCCTGCTGGAATGGAATCCCACGTCGGCTAGAAGCCCGTGTTGGCAGGCACCTCTCGGTGTCCCCGTATCACTTACAATTCCGCCATGGCATCTTTTGTCGTGCCGCATTACGTGTTGGTAGGTCAGACGATGGTGTGATGTGATGGTGCAGAAGGGGAGGAGGTTGACAGAAGCTGCCCTGCCATGTGCCGTGGGCCGCCTCATCACTCATCACAACCAGATCTGATTAGATCAGATCAAATCAGATCAAATCAGATCAAATCATCCCCTCTACCGCGGGCCACTGTCCTTGTCCCTCCCGTCTCTCATCTCTCTCTCGCCCTCCATTCCCGTCCCTTTCACATCCTCACCTATTTCTTCGCCCCTCCCCTCTCCTTTTCTTCCTCCCCGTTCTCCTCCTCCTCTTATCTCCCTTGCCCCCTTTCTCTCCTTCCTCCCCTTCCTCCCAACCCGCCCCTCACCTTCCCTTTCCCCTTTTCCTCCCCTCTCTCCCGTTCCTCCCTCTCCCTACCATTCTCCTCTTTCTCCCTTTCCTCCGCCCTCCTTTCCTCCCTTCCTCCCCGTTCTTCCCCTCCCCTTTCCCCCCTTCCCCCTTTCCTCTCCCTCCTCCCCTTCTTCACCTCCCGCCCCTCACTTTCCCTTTCCCCCTGCCCTCCCCTTCCTCCACCTTCCCCCCGTCCTCCTGCTCCCCGCCCCCGCGTGCCCCCCTGCTCACAGGAACCGAGCGGCGACGGAGATATACGGGTGGGAGCCGGAGGAGGTGCTGGCGCTGCCCGCGGAGGACATGAGCGAGTGCGGCGTGCAGATCTTTCCCTCTCCCCGCTTCCCCAATTCCCCTCCATCCTCCCCTCCCTCCCGTTCCTCCCCTTCCTCCCTTCCCTCGCCTCACCTCCCCTCCCCTCACCTCCCCTCCCCTCGCCTCCCCTTCCCCCCGTCCTCCCCTCACCTCCGCCCCTGCGCGGCCAGGAACCGCGCAGCAACGGAGATATACGGGTGGGAGCCGGAGGAGGTGCTGGGGCGGCTGGTGTTCGAGGTGCTGGCGCTGCCCGCGGAGGACATGAGCGAGTGCGGCGTGCAGATCTTTGCCGCGCTCTCCCGCGGCGACAAGTGGTCGGGCGAGTGGTCTGTGCGCACCAAGGCCGGCAACATCATTGAAATCATGGTGTGTGTGTGTGTGTGCGAGGGCCGGCCGGGGGGCCGGGGCAGCGGGGCGTGGGGCGTGGGGGGTGGGGCAGCTGGAAATTGCGGGAGTGGGAAGTGAGGGGGCAGGGCGAGTGGTCCGGGAGGAGGGGGTGGTGGCGCTCCAGGGGAAGCGGGGAAGGGGGGAAATTGGGGGAAGGAGGGAAAGCGAGGGAAATGGGGAAGCGGGCCGGATTGAGGTGATGCTTGGTGGAGAGCTGGTTTGTGGGAGTGGCGCATGGGGTAGGGAGCGATTAGGGGGGGGGTGGGAGCGCATGAGGTGCATCCACGCCCCCTTACTATGCTCCCTCAGCATGCCGTGGTGCCATGTGTTCGCCCTCCCTCGCCCTCCCTCGTCCTCCCTCTCCCTCGCCTCTCTCTCACCTTTCCCTCCTGCTTCCCTCCCCTCCCTCCCCTCTCTGTCCCCTCTCCCTCCCTTCTCCCTCCCCTCTCCCTCCCCTCTCTCTCCCCTCTCCCTTCCCTCTCCCTCTCCTCTCCCTTCCGTCTCCCTCTCCTCTTACCTCCCGCGCCTTGCACTCCCCTCCCCCTCGCTCTCCTCCCCCCCTCTCGCCCCTCCGCAGGTGGTGGACACGCCAGTGATGGACGAGGCGAACCAGCTGGTGGGGGTGATCGGCGTGAGCACGGATATCAGCGAGCTCAAGCGCAAGGAGGCCGAGATCCTGCGCCTGAACGCGGAGCTGGAGCAGCGCGTGGCGGAGCGCACGCAGCAGCTGCAAGAGAGCAACCGCCTGCTGCAGGAGGAGGTGCAGGAGCACCTGCGCGCACGCAAGCACCTGCACCGCGTCGCACGGGTGCGTGTGGTTTTCAGGCTATATTGAAATCACGTGAAAAGTGATTTCAACGTGGCACGGGTGCGTGTGGTTTTCAGGCCCCTGCTCCTCAAACATAGACGCCTGCTGCAGGAGGAGGTGCAAGACCACCTGCGTGTGCGCGAGCACCTGCATACCGTTCTCTACTCCAACTTCCCATCCCCTTGCCCTTCCATCCCCTCCCTTCTTCCATTTCCTTCCCCCCCTCTCTCCATGCCAGCAGGATATGGAAGCGGCGCGGTCCAAGGTCCTCAAGCAGGCAAACCGGCCCTTCACACCTGCACTGCCCTTCCCCACTTCAAGATCCCTCTCCCTCCCCTCCCTTCCCCTCACGTCCCCTCCCATCCCCTCTCCTCGCCTTCCTCTTCCCCCATTCTCTCCACGGGAGCAGGACATGGAGGCGTCGCGGTCCAAGACACTGGAGCAGGCGAACCAAACGGCAAAGCAGCCCTTTGCGTGCGCTTCCTTACTCCAACATCCCTCCCCTTTCCCCTCCCAACCCCCTCCTCTCCCGCCTTCTCTCGTCCATGCGGGCAGGACATGGAGGCGTCGCGGTCCAAGATACTGGAGCAGGCGAACCGGCTGGAGAAGCTCGTGGTGGACCTCCGAGCCGCCCGCCTCGAGGCCGAGTCCGCCAGCCGCCTCAAGAGCCAGTTCCTCGTCAGTGCTCCGCTCCCCCCTATTGTGCTCTCTCTGCTGCCTGCTGCGTTCTGCCGGCTGCGCGCTGCTTGCTGCGTGCTACCTGCTTTTCCTGTTTTGTTCCAGCGCACACTCAATCCCAACATCATTCAGCTTTCTTTCCGCCCACACCCCCCTCACCATCCTTATCACCCTGCATGACTCCCTCTACTCCACCTTCCTCCACCCTCTCATCCCCTCCTCCGCCCCACTCAACCCCTCTTTCCCCCTCCTCTCCCCACCACTCCACCCTCTCCCTTCCTCACTTACCCCCTCCACCCCGTCCGCTTCCACACCGCCTCCTCCCTCACTCCCTCCCTCCTCTCCCCCCCTCCCCTCCCACCAGGCGTGCATGAGCCATGAAATCCGCACACCCATGAACGCGGTCATCGGTATGACGAACCTCATCCTCTCAACGCCGCTCACGGACGAGCAGCAGCAGTACGTGCACACCATCCGCACGAGCGGCGACGCGCTGCTGGCAATCATCGACGACATCCTCGACTTCAGCAAGATCGAGGCGGGGGAACTAGCGCTCGAGCGCTGCCCCTTCTCCCTCATGATGTGCCTCGAAGAGGCCGTTGACATGTTCGCTGTGAGTGGAGTGGCCCTGGCCCCTGGGCTGGGGTGAGGTGACTGTTGTGTCGACTCAAAAGAGTGCTGCCCCGTCTGCCCCGTCTGCCCCGTCTGCCCCGTCTGCCCCGTCTGCCCCGTCTGCCCCGTCTGCCCCGTCTGCCCCGTCTGCCCCGTCTGCCCCGTCTGCCCCGTCTGCCCCGTCTGCCCCGTCTGCCCCGTCTGCCCCGTCTGCCCCGTCTGCCCCTTCTCCCTCATGATGCGCCTCGAGGAGGCCGTTGACATGTTTGCTGTGAGTCGCATGCCATCTTGTGCCCTCCTATGCCCTCCTGCCCCCTCCTGTGCCCTCCTGCCCCCTCCTGCGCCCGCATGCCCCCATTCCCTCATGCGCTCATGCCCGCACCCCGCATGCCCTCATGCCCTCATCATGCCCTCTGAATTGGCGCTTCTTTCATCGCCAATCCAAGGCATCTTGTATCGAGCCGCTGCAAGCCCACAGCTGCCCCCTGCCACATGCTCAGCCTCATCCCCCAATCACTTCAACAGTCACCTCTGCTTCATCCTCACACACTCGTGCCCTGTCCCAAATCTGTCCCCACCTCCCTTCCACCTTCCCTCCCACCTTCCGCCCCACCTTCCCCCCCACCTTTCCCCCCCACCTCACCTTCCCCCTCACCTTCCACCTCTCCCCCCGTCCGCCTTTCGCTTCCCCCCCTTGGCAGCTGAAGGCGCTGGACAAGCGGCTGGAGCTGGTGTCGTTTGCAGACCCCTCCGTGCCTCCCATCGCCCAGACCGACCCCGCTCGCGTCCGACAGGTGTGCTGCACTGTGAAGCTGTGAGGCTGGGTGGGCATGGGGATAAGTGTGTGCGTGCGCGATGCATGGAGGCTGGGAGAGGAGGGGCGGGAGTTTGGGACACACAGGTGTGTGGGAAGGTAGGAGGTATGGCTGGTTAGGCCTGAGGTTTCCCTTCTCCTGCTTCTTTCTCAGTGTGTGGTCCCGCTGTTGTTTTCCCGGAGAAAACATCAGTTCACGAGTTTCGCACCTCAACCTCATCCATTTACCCTTTTACAATGCGCCGTCCTCCTTCCCTTTCCGCTCTCCCGCCCGTGTCCTCCTCCCACCTCTGTCGGCGTGTGTGTTTGTGCATGCATGCATCAGATCCTGGTGAATCTCATATCCAACGCCCTCAAGTTCACGCACCAAGGGGAGATTTTCATCCGCGCCCGCGCCTCCCCTTGGCCCGCCTCCCGCACCTCCTCGCACCTTCCCCCCCATCCCCTCTCCCATACCCTCCCTCCTTCCCTCCTCCAAACCTCCGATGGCGTTTCCACTGCCACTGGTGCCACTGCCGCCGCTGCTGCCACAAGAGGACACCAACCAGGGCTATTCCCATTCAACACATCTGCACCGCTCTCCATCTTCTCCTCTTCCTCCTCCTCCTCCTCCTCAACCACCTCCCTCTCCACCCTCGCGCCCAGTTCACCCTACCTCTACACCTCCTCCTCTCTCCTCTCAGATTCAGCCCTCCCAAGCCACGAGCTACACGTAACAGTCACAGACACAGGCATCGGTATCCCTCCTGATCGCATGTCTCGCCTCTTCCGACCGTTCAGTCAGGGGGATGCAAGCACTACGCGCAGGTTTGGGGGCACGGGGCTGGGCCTGGTGATTTCGAAGCAGCTGGCGGAGCTGCTGGGAGGGCGCATGTGGGTAGAGAGTGCAGGGGAGGATAGAGGTTCCACGTTCCATTTCACTATTGCCCTCTATCCCCCGCCGCCTACGGAGCCTGTATTAGCAACGCCTGCCCCCGTTGCTGCTGCTGCTCCTACTCCAGCTCCTGCTCCTGCTGCTCCTCCTCCTCCTCCTCCTCCTGCTGCTGCTGCTGCTGCTACTCCTGCTCCATGTGCCTCTTCTGCTCTTCCGCCTCTGCCTGTTGGCGCTCCCCCTGTCGCTGCCTCTCTCAGTACCGTGCCCTCTGCTGCCCCTGCCACAGGTAGTGCTACAGCTACAGCTACTGTCACAGCCCTCCCGTTGTCTGCCTCACAGCCATCCCTACCATCCCATCTTCTTCCTCTTTCACCCACACCTGCCACAGCAGCTATAGCCCCAAGCTCTGCTGCCATGAGCAGTGGTATCACCACCACCATCGCCACGACCACCACCAGCACTTCCGCTCCTGCTGCTGCTGTTCCTCCAGGTGTCACGCTGGCAGGAGGCAGCACTGGTGCGGTTGCGGCTGCTGGTGCAGCTGGGGCGGACAGACGAGGTGTTGGGGGGGCTTGGGGAGGGCGAGGTCTGCGAGGGGACAGAGGATTGAGAGGAGTAGGTTCAGCAGCAGGAGCTGCAGCAACGGCGGCAGCAGCAGGGGCGGTGGCGGAGATAGGGTCACATGCGAGGGTGGAAGCAGAGTGGGAGCAGCGGCAGAAGCTGCGGTCGTCCCTGTACCGGCAGCGGTTGATGGAGAGTGCTGTGCTGGTTCCTGGCGCTGCAGCACAGGGCAGCGCTGCGGATGGCGGGGTGGGGAACTGGGAGGTGGAGGAGGGTGCGATTGCAGGGATGAATGCAGGGGTGGGGCGAGCACGAGATGTGGGGATAAGTACAGGGGTAAGGGAAGGAGTGGGGGCAGGGACAAGGGAAGGGGTGGGGGCAGGGGCAAGAGAGAGCGAGCAGGGTGGGGTTGTTGATGGCAAGGCAGGGGAGGTGGTGGGGGGAGAGAGGCGGGGTAGCAAGAGGCCTAGGGAGGTCAGTGAAGAAGGCGGGAGGGGAGAGGATGATGGAGGGGCAACGCGAAGGCCAGTGGGGGAGAGTGAAAGGGTAGTGGGGGGAGTGGTGGGGAGAGAATCCGGTGAGGCAATGGTGGTGGTGGCGTGTGGGAGAGATGGTGACATTGAGGGGACGTTTCAGCGCCGGACGGATGACTCTGCGTCTGACATGGTTACCGAATTGGGGGGACGGCAAGCCGGGGAACAGCAACAGGAACGGTCGCATCCTTTCACTTATCCACCTGCTGTGCCCATGTCCTTGCCACATCCCTCCAACCAACAACCCCCACAGCCGATGGGGCACCACCACTCACACGACTCACAACCCTCCCACCAACCGTGCCCCTCTCCTTCTCTCTCGCCCTCTCCCTCGCCCTCGCCCTCTCCCTCGCCCTCGCCCTCACCCTCACCCTGCCCCTGCCCCTCCCCACACGCTACCTACTCCGCTCCGCGCTCCTCCACCCAGCAGACCACCCCTCGCACCTCCCCAACCACCGCTCCCCGTGCCTCACCACACATCACACCCCCCTCCTCCCTTTCCACAGAACCCCACACGGAACCCCCTACAGGCCACCCCACAGACGCCCGCACACACGCCCTCACAGACGCACCACCAACCTCCCCTGCGCTTTCCCCTCGGGATTCCCTCCGCGGGGAGCACGTGATGGACCCTGCAGTCAACCCCGCCGCCGTCGTGACTCTTCGCCCTATCCGTGCAGTGCAGGGCCGCACAGCCCTGGTAGTGGATGATAGTGCGGCAGTGCGTGCCATGGTATCAGCGCACCTGCAGGCGCTGGGGTTTGCAACGAGGGAGCTGACGAGTGGGGAGCAGCTGCTGGAGGAGGTTGCTGCCTGCGATGTCACCCGCGCACCCAGCCTCGTGGTCATTGATACTGAGGTGAGCTCGTGGATACCGAGGTAAGGGGGACGGGAGGCGGGACGCGCGGGGGGGAATGGGGGGGGTGGGGGATGGTTGCGGGAGGAACGTCTGGTTGGAGTTGTGAGTGGTTTTGCCAAACATTTTGATAATGGACCAAGAGGAGGTGGGGTGGGGAGGGTTTGGTTTGCGACGAGGGAGCTGACGAGTGGGGAGCAGCTGCTGGAGGAGGTTGCTGCCTGCGATGTCACCCGCACACCCAGCCTCGTGGTCGTAGACACCGAGGTGAGGGGGACGGCACGCGGGTTGGGGATACCGAGGTGAGGGACTGGATAACGAGGTAAGGGGCAAGTTGCGTGGAGCGCGGGTAGCAGCGGCAGCAGGAGCACGGGATGGACCTCTCTCTCTTGTCCAGTTTATTGGTCCGCTGCTGTCGTTGTTCCTTCTTGGTGCGCGTGTCCAGGACGCTTGACTTGACGCGTCAGGTGCAACATAGTTTGTCCCTGAACATTCGGTTCCCCTTCTGCCTTTGCTTCATTCTGTGCCTTCCCTTCCCTTCCCCCGCCCACCGTGCCCAAATGTATGGATTGCTCGTCAGATGCCGGGAATGGACGGGCTGACCGCGGTGAACCAGCTCAGCGCCTTGCCACAGGCAGAAGGGCTGCGCGTGCTGCTGCTCTGCCCCTACGGCACCGCCAACCAGGTGCGCTGCGCTGTGCTGCGTTGTGCCATGGAGTGCTGCCCCTCCCCTGTTTCACAGATACCTCAAGCCACGGCGTTGATGCTCGCTCACTCACTCACTCACTCCACACTTGCGTACTGTCCCTCCGCCCCCCCCGACACGCCTCCTCCTCTTTCGCATGCGTGTTCTTTTCGTCACGCTTTGACTAAACATGCAGGTTAGTGGTAGTGCAGTGCATGGCATGGTCATCTGGTAGGCAGCTGCATGGCCCCATCAGATCAGAAGGCCCCCATCAAGGGAGCTCCAGTCCAGCCCTCCCGCCCCGCCATCCATTCAGCACACTGAAGCCCCCGCCCCTCTGGTGTCCCTCTCTCTGTATCTCTCTCTTTGTCTCGCTTTTTCTCCCACACACACACGCACCCACACGATTTCTTTCTCTCCCGCTCTCACCCCTCCCCCTCCCACTCCCCTTCCCCCTCCCCCTCCCCCTCCCCCTCCCCCTCCCCCTCCCCCTCCCCCTCCCCCTCCCCCTCCCCCTCCCCCTCCCCCTCCCCACCAGGTGCGCGTGACGGCCCCCAGCATCAGCATGGCAGCACTAACCAAGCCCCTGCGCCAGTCCCTCTTCACCCGTGCTCTGCTCCTCGCCTTCCCTCCCCTCGCTACGCCTCCATCTCCATCTCCCCTCACTCACCCACACCAACCGGCAGCTGCTTCCCCAACCACCACTCCTACCACCACTGCTCCTGCTCCTGCTCCTGCTCCTGCTGCGGCTGCAGCGTTCAACCACAGCAGATCCAGCCATCACAGTGCCATGCCCCAGCCTTCCTCCGTGCCTCCTGCTTCTGCTTCCTCTGCTGTTCTGACGGCGGTTGCGAGTAGAACTGGCGGCGGCAAAGGTGGTGGTGGTGGTAATGCCACAGTCACCTCCTGTGGAGGTGACAGGTCGGATGGCAGGACTGTCGCGGATGCTGCTGCTGCTGCTGCTGCTGCTGCTGCTGCTGCTGCTGGTGGTAGTGGCAGCAACGTGAGCAGCATTGGTGTTGTGAGTCCTCGAGCAAGAGGAGACGGGGGGCGAGGAGGGCAAGGAGGGCGAGGAGGAGAAGGAAGAGAAGGAAGAGGAGGGCAGGGAGCGGCGGAGCAGGCCGGGGCTGTAGAAATGCCTAGGAGGAATAACAGCTGGCAGAATCTGATTGCAGTAGGGGTGGTGAATGAGCGCACGACGCCTGGCGGGTTCATATTGGGTCTGGCGGACAAGCATCCACTCAAGATACTGCTTGTGTGAGTGTGAATACATACGGTGGGCTCTGAGCAACGGGTTGGGGATTGTGAGGATTGTGGACTCTCAGCAATCAGTTCAAAGGCTGGTTGCGGTGGGCGTGGAGAAGTGGAGGGTTGAAAGCGGAGATTTGAGTTCCCTAACCTTCCCTTCCCCAGTTGTGTTGTATTTGCTGGGATGGAAAAACTGGCATGTGCAAGAAATATGTCACAAGTGTTGTCTTGAACTTCCTGGCTACACAAACGCCCTGGCTGCGTCCTCCCTTCCTGTTGTGCCTCACCTGAACACGTTCGCCCCTTTGCCCTTCCCCACCTTCCCCCGCGCAAACTCTCTCACCCGCAATCGCAAACGCACCTTCACCCGCACACCCACCCGCACGTGTGCTGTGGGTTGCGCGCAGCGAGGACATCCTGGTGAATCAGCGCGCGCGTGGCCACGTGCATGCTGAGCAACAGGGGGCACACCCTGTGGACCTGGCATGCTAGCTTGCCCTGTTGCCCTTTCCCCCCGACCCAAACCCTACCCCCACCCCCACGCCCACACATGTCCCCGCCCGCATGCGTGCTCTGTGCAGCGAGGACAACCTGGTGAATCAGCGAGTGGCAACGCGCATGCTGAGCAACATGGGGTACACGGTGGACCTGGCGGTCAATGGGCTGGAGGCCGTCAATGCCATAGCCACCAAGACATACGACCTCGTCTTCATGGACATTCAGGTGGGCATGTATGCCGTTGTTTTGGCGCCTTGAAACCAGCGTGTGGCAACGCGCATGCTGAGCAACATGGGGTACACGGTGGACCTGGCGGCCAATGGGCTGGAGGCCGTCAATGCCCTCGCCACTAAAACATATGACCTTGTGTTCATGGACATTCAGGTGGGCTGGGCACCTGTGGACATACAGAGAGGGCACTTGGGGACATGAAGTGTGTGCGCCATGTGAGAGCATATGGAGTGCATTTGTACCAAGGCTTGAAGCCAGTGTCACTCGAGAGCCAGCTTTCAGTCGTTCTCCTTCATCATTCCTTCCTTCTCTCGCCAACTCTCTTTGACTTCCCTTGCCCATCCCGCGTCACCTTCCCTCCGCGCCCCCCCCTCGTGGCCTTGCGTCCTCCCTGCAGATGCCAGTGATGGATGGCATAGAGGCAACACAGCGCATCCACCTGCTAGCGCAGCAGGAGGGGCGAGTGCGGCCGCGCATAGTGGCAATGACAGCCAATGTGTTGCACTCGGACCGGCAGCAGTGCCTCAATGCAGGCATGGATGGGTTTCTCTCCAAGCCCATCCGCGTTGCTGACCTCGTGGCTGTGCTCGAACGCACCCCCTCTGCTGCGTCTCTTACTCCTGCTGCTGCTTCTCCAGCTGTCCCAGTCACCACTCCTGCTGCTACTGCTGCTGCTCCTCCCCCTGCTTCTGCTGCTGGTGATTCCGCTGCTGCTCCTTCTGTTGCTGGTAGCGTTGACGGTAACTCAGGGAGTGATAGATGGGTGAAGGGAGGCAGTTCTTTGTGCCCAGGCAACAACTACTGGTCCACAACCAGTAACTGCACAGGTCAATTACCCGATGGCTTGAGTAGGCACGAATAAGCAGCGCGGGTATTTTCTCTATTTCACCACTCGAGGTTCTTTGCCTGGAATAGTAGCATAGCATGACCCTTTTTGTGATTCGCTCAGCCGCAGTTTTGGTTAGATGAAGAGGGCACACTCGCTGCATGGGAAACCGCTAGAAGTGTCTAGACATTTTGGAGAGCAAGGAGCAAGGGAAGGCGTTAGGGCACCAGTGACCGGGTCCAGCCAGTGTCCGGGTTAACCTTTTGCAACTTGTACTACTGGTACACTGATTTCCAGTGTTTGTTCAGAAATTGTTAACCGAGGCCAATTTTTTTTTCCAGAAATTGAGAAAGCTTGCTTTCTTATTCTTATCAATTGGCATTGTTCTCATTACAAATGGCTTATTACAACATTTGCATCAACGTTGAACACAAGCTAGTGCAATCGAGTAACACTAGCTAAGATGTACCCTATCCAAGTGGCATTAGCAAGGCGGTTTGCTCTGGGGTGGGTGGTGGGAATGTTGAGTGAGCCGTTGGAAAATCGAGAAACGTGGGTGGAGGGAAATGAACTCCAACCCACGGTTTTTGTAGTTGGAGAAGGGCGTTTAGCGCGCTTCGACGATGCCAATTGTGCAGTACAAGCAGCTTCGCTTTCACAATACACAATTTTAAAAAACACAATGTGTGTTTAAAAATTATAATATTATGAACCCATGCCAGGCAAATCTCCGTCATGTAAATTCTGCTGTGATTCTGGACCCACTATGTGTATTTGTCAACTCTGCCTGTGCTTACTCCAACCAGGGCACACCAACTAAACGTTTCCTTTCTTATACTGTGACACTTGTACCCTGAACATCTGCACCAGAAAACATGCAACACTTACCATACATCTAATCCAACAAGGACCTTATTCCGTGTACTGTATGGATTTTCTAATGATGTGTTATAATCTCGTCATGCTTTCCAACCAAAGGTCCTAATGCAAAGAAGCTTTCTCAACAAATGTGATGTTAACATATGTTCCCCTGAAGCTTTCTTAACAACAGTCCATGATTTTGTTTGGAACTTACAGTATGCATGGATACAAGGTACTAATGCAAAGAAGCCACGTCTTGTACATTGTTCACGGAGAAATGCCATCCTCTAGCGAGTATCTTGGGTATCGTCATCACACACCTGTTTCTTCGATGACTAAGGGCCACCTGCTGCCGTCTACAGCTTCGGGGCTGTCGTTTAGGAACCACTGCTGGGGTTGCATACTTACTGTTTGACACGCTTCCCACTGAAAACGAGAAAGTAACCGCTATTGCCAGCGCGTGTGCCGTTAGAAGTGTGTGCACAGTGGGTTACACGATCTGGGTCTCAACAGCTCGGCCAACCACTGGAAAGTCCATGATGTCGTCGCAACCAGCGTGTTCTAGAAACGTTCGGAATCGCGTTGCCTTCCCCGCTGTTGCTGGTGGAGGGGCTGTTCGATCGAATGCGAGTGGTGGTGCTGTTCCAGACTCTGAAACGACTTTTGGAGACAAGGAGAGATGGTGGGGCTACACGCAAGTCTCAGCTGTGTACTAAGAGGTCGTCCTCCTGACCACCTCACTGTCGACAGAGGGCCAGACCAGATACTTACCTCCCCCTGTGCCCAGTATCTCGTTTTCTAACCCGAGATTTTCTTCGTTGAGTTGGCGCTTTGATGGGCTGTTGCGGTGCGATTCGCTTCGCGTAGCACAGCTCGCCTTAAAACTGTCAACAGCTCGCATGGCTGTTTCGCCTGCTGCTGTCTGGATGACTTGCCAGTTGGCTGGGGTTTCGTTTCGCAGATCCCGAGATAGACTTGCACCACCCGGCTGTAGTACAATCTCGCCACCACTACTAGAGATGTTATCATCTCACACCGGATCATGCGAGTATCGTTAGCATTTCATCGTCCCAGCTTCAGCTGTTTCCATCCGAGACAATGCGAGCCGCCTTTTGTTTTGAAGCTACCACATGCAATAGCCCACGCAGAAAGGTAGAAGTAGGAGATGGCTCTACTACTAGGCCATTGGTTGATGCCCCCCTTTCCACAGGTCCCATTTTTGCTACGCCCAGAAATATGCTTCCTCCTCGAATAAACCACAGTGGTATAACGCTGGACAGAGCGACAACTGCCGACTTGTGTGAAAGCACTGACAATGCTCAGGTTGGCCTCAACATCTCTCCCAGACCCGGCGTCGCGTCTCTCCGCTTCTGCAGCGATGGTCGGATTGTCGAGGCATCGGACGACTCAGATTCCACTCCCGCTATCATGATTCGCACGATAATAATCGGCAAGGCAGCGCTTGGCGCGGGCGCGGGCGCGTTGGTTTCTACAACGACCCTCCCAGTGGCGATGATGAACGGCGGCTTCTACAAGCGTTACGCCGTGCGCGAAGTGCTGGGCGTGGGCGGGTACGGGGTGGTGCGCCGGTGCTGGGACAGGAAGTCGCGCACGGAGTTCGCGTGCAAGAGCATCGCCAAGAGCAAGGCGCTGCGGTGCAGCAGCGGGTGGCTGGGGCGGAGCCGCTGCGCGCTGCGGCGGCAGGCGGAAGGCGCGAGCGGCATGTGGAAATGGCACACGGAAGTGGCGGCTCTGCTGCGACTGAGAGGTCATCCGAACATCGTGCAGCTGTACGGGGTGTGCGACGACGCGTACTCCTTGCACTTGCTCCTCGAGCTCTGCTCCGGCGGTGAGCTTCACGCCGCGCTTCACCGACACGCGTTGGAGGACTCTGTTGCCTCCACTAGTGGAGTGGACGTCACTCGAAAGGCTCGCGCGGGCCGCAAGGACATGATGATATTTCCTGACGCCATCAGTTTAAGTGATGAGTTCGAGGACGTGATTGAGGAAGAGGAGGATATGGAGAACTTTAAAGCTCTGCCTGAGGCTGTTGCTCTTGGTATCTTCTGGCAGCTGGTGTCAGCTGTGCATTCGTGCCATGCATGCGGCATCGTGCACTGCGACATCAAATTAGAGAATATCCTTCTGTCACAACCTGCTTCATCAAGTGCTTCCGGAGGATGCATGAAAGGCCTGCGCCTAGACGAGCAGATCCCCTTAGTGAAGCTCTGTGACTTTGGCTCTGCGCTCTGCCTCGACCAGGCCCAGCCTGGCAGCATTCTGACAAGCTTTAGGAAGGCGGATTGTTATAGAGAGGCAACGAGCTTGCACAGCATGTACTTCCAAGCCCCGGAGGTGATAAGAGGCGGAAGTGCCGCATGCAGGAAGGAGTCAGACATGTGGAGCATCGGCGTCATTCTTCACGTTTTGCTGACCGGCCAGCTTCCATTTGTTGCGGGATCCACATCTTTGTTGTGGAAAAGAATCCGGAGAGGACATGTGGATTACACAGTCTCATGCTGGAAAGGGGTCTCACCCAAAGCAATGAAGCTTGTACAGAGATTGCTGGTAGTCAACCCTGCAGCACGAGCTAGTAGCAGTGAGCTCTTGGCCATAAAGTAGAGCATTTTAAGGTGCGAGCTCCATGATTCCTCCTGACCAATAGAGAAAAAAGAGATAAACAAAGAAATAAGAAATATGAGATAAGAAATATCAGAAATATGAGATAAGAAATATCAGAAATAAGAGATAAACTTGTTGGTTTTTTAGTTTCATGTCGTCTATCAAAGAGATAAGGGCGAAATTCTGTGTCGGAGGTGTACAGAAATGTCGAGACAAAAAACTTGGCGCGAAAAGAACCAACCAATTCCCTGTGCCGTATATAGCATGAGTCAGAAGTTCAATCTCGCTAAACCGTAACCAGCCTTGTAATGCACCGCTGTCAAACTCCCTAAACCGCATTCGAGCCAACTTCTAGGACACGCAGTTGGCTCACGTCGCAAATGCTGGGGTGGGGAATATTTCGGTGATCCCTGGAATGCGTATGATAACTGTGCTGTGGTAGTGATCCCTGCTGAGTAGTGTTGCTTTTTCTATGCTACCATTTCACTCTGACCAGCACCATCGGTCCTACACAAGCTGCGATGCGGCTGTCCTAGCGTCGCAGCTCCACAGCGACGTTCGTAACTTGCGATGGAACTTATACGGGTAGAAGAGCCTGTGCACCTGAGGTGACCTTTGTACATGACACACGATGGCGGTCCCTCATAGAAGCAATTCCAACAGCGGCAATCTCAACGGAAATTCAGCGTGTTCAGTGGCCATCCGAAGCTGGCAGGGTCTATCGGACGATGATTATGAGGAGGCCTTTCATGAGTTCATTGTGGAATCACACTCTCGCGATCTCCCTCGCGTACCTTCTGCTCGTCCCTTCGCCCTCGCCGTCGAGTAAGCCAAACGACGAAGCGACAATCCTGCCGAAATCGCCTGACTAGTCCCTCCCACAGCTCCCTTAATCCGCTCGTTTAATCGCGTTGCTTATCGGTATTTCTTCCTGCGACTGACCTTTCTCCCCTTCCGTTATCAGGTCCGCCGAGCTTTTGAATTCTAACCCTTCTCTGGCATTGGAACTCCATGCCAACGCCAGGCGCTTGTTACCCCTATTTGACCTCGCTCTTGCTCGAGCCATGGTCAGTGTAATCTGATCGTGAAGGCCGTTCGGAAGTCGTGACCTCGGCATTTAAAATCTTTTGTGGCTGGCATTTCAAAGGGTTAATGGACACGGTTGCTGCGTTACCTTAGTTGGATGGTCTGCGCATGAATTATGGCTTTAACTGGAGTCTCTACTTGATTTCTTCTGCGTATTCAACATTGGTTCAGGAGGAGCTATGGGCGAAGCAGGCTGAGCAGGAAGAGGAGGAAGCTGCTCAAGCGTCAAAGTCAACAACAGCTGGTGGTGCAGCCCCTCCGTCATCATCACCAGCAGCAGCAGCAGCAGCAGCATCAGCACAAGGAGCAGGCGGTAGAAGCGGAAACAAACGAGCTCGTCAGCACCTGCAGTACGCAGTGAATGCATGTGTGCGCATGAACACGCTGGGATCCGCGTTTGCTTGCGGAGAGGCGTCCCCAGGCATAGGGGCTCTACGAGTGAGGCACGAAGGGCAGCTGCTGACAGTGACAGGCACGGTTGTGCGCACAGGGACCGTACAGATGCTGGAAGGGCTGCGTGCATTCACCTGCACCACATGCAAGAGAACGTAAGACTAGGACGTGTGTTCTTTGGTCTTTTGTCACTCCATGAATCTTCGCTGTCCACCTCCCTGTCACATGTGCAGGCCGCTATCTTTTCCGAGCTTCTTTATCCTCCTTCCTCTCCTCTGCACTTTTGCTTCCCGGTTTTGCCGGCCTTTTTTTCGCGTTCAGATTTACATGCTCGCCAGAACCAGAGGAGGGCTACGCAGTGGAGGTGCCATCTGCCTGTCCGTATGTTGACAGCAAGGTATTTGCATGCAGGCTTGTTGCATGTGAACATGGTCCCACCCACAAATGACCAATTTGCGTTATGGATGCCTCAGAATTAACCTCCCTGTTTGAAGGATGCCCATACTTTTGGCCCAGCATTTCCATCTGTCGTACCTACTTTTATGCTGCTCTCCGACAAAGCCTATATGTGTTATGAGATGTCAACTCATTGTAAGCTCCAATTACACTTGCATCGCGCACCAGTGAACGGGAAAGTCAGTCCCCATCTGCACCTGTGCCCCATTCCCTCCAACCCCCCTCTCCCACCCCCACTCACATTCCCTTCCTCTCTTCTCCCATCACTTGAACGTTGCTGCAGCGGCGCAAGCGGTGCAAGGGGCGCGTGTTTGTGCCAGCTGACAGTCAGCGCAGCAACAACAACAGCAGCGGCGTAGCTGGTGCGGGGCGTGGCGCATGCATGGACTTCCAGGAGGTGAAGCTGCAGGAGCACGTGCACGACCTGCCTGCAGGGCGCCTGCCCCGCTCCGTGCGGGTCGTGCTGTCCAAAGACCTCGTTGACACTGTGCTGCCTGGTGGTGAGATGTGATGGATGCGCTCTCTGCAACGATGTGCCGTGCATGCGCTGTTCTGTGTCCCGTGTGCTCATTGCAGTGAGCTTTGTCGCCCCCTCAGCTTCCTGCACCCTTGAATGAATGTCAAGGGCTTGCTTTTCTCATTCGTCACACTGTGCCTTCCTTCATTGCATCATTCGCTCCTTCACTAAACCTGGCCTCTGGCAATCCCCAACCCCCGTGCTCCCTTTGACCTTTTTGTAACATGCCTTTGATACAACCAACCAAGAGGATGTGGTGGTGGTGGGTGTGATGGCTTGTCGTTGGCGCTCTGTTGCTCCTGGCGCCCGTTGCCTGCTTGAGCCCATCCTGTGCGCCAACAACCTCTGGTATGAGACACTGCAGCCCTTGTGTTCATCCTTTAACTCTGGGATTCCTGTTTTCTCTTGACATTTGCACGGAGTAGGTATGTATTCACCGAGTGTTTATTGTGCTTCCCTGCTGTGCATGCAGCAGGAGCAATGCTCAGGAGTTGGAGGAGCAGGGAGAGGAGGAGGAGGGGGAATTTGAGGATTTCTGGTGTGCCCATGCCAGCAATCCCCTTGCAGGTCTGCGGCACGTTCAAGGGCATGAGGGGGAAAGGGGGTGTGGGGGTGGGAAGGTGGTTTAGGAGGGGTGTGTGTGTGTGTGTGTGTGTGTGTGTGTGTGTGTGTGAATGAGCTGGATGTGTGGCTGGTGTGTATGCATGCACGACCTGAGTGAACGCTTTACCCCTGTGTCCATGTGCGTGTATCTATTTCCCAGGCAGAGACATCATCCTGCGTAGTATCTGCCCCCAGGTGTACGGTCTTGCTGCTGTCAAGCTTGCAGGTGTGTGCGCGAGCAACCTCATGCTGTCTCCCCTACTCAACCTCCCAGCATAACCCTCATCCCGCTTTCACTGCTCGTTCTGTTCTTCTCCCCGATGGTTTCCCATCGTTTTGCTGCGAATCTATGCTCAGAGCTCCACCCACTTTGATGCTCGCAGTCTCCCATGCTCCCTCCACTCCCATACACGAGAAATTCCAAATTTTCCTTTTCTTTCGTGCGCTTCCTCCGTATCCGGCCTTGCCCCCTCCTGCCCCTCTCTTCCCACATCACTTTCCCTCCTCGCGGCCCTTAGTGGCGCTGATGCTGATAGGGGGAGTGCCGCACACGGACCCCTCAGGCACCCGTGTGCGTGGGGAAATGCACCTGCTGCTCGTTGGGGACCCAGGTACCTTATTGAACATGTCACAATGCTTTGAACTGAAGTGCCAGTGTAAATGCTGTGTGCGTGCATTGCATCCGAATGCTTCAATTCTGTACCATTCAAATCACCTCCCCCATTCGCTCCCCTCTTGCACCACCTTGCCATTCTCCTCCCTTCCACCCCTCACCTCCTTCCCCTGCTCCACCTCCCTCTGTTTCCCTCTGCACTATGCCTCCCACCCCACTCACCCATCCCAGGCACGGGCAAGTCCCAGTTTCTCAAGTACGCATCGAGGCTGTGCCATCGTGCTGTGCTCACCACTGGGCTAGGAAGCAGCTCTGCAGGCCTCACTGTCACTGCTGTCAAGGACGCAGGTGAGGGGTGCGGGGGTGCGGACTGTTGTGTGGCATTGTAACAAGGTGACTATCGAGTCGACTCAAAAGTCATCGTGCTGTGCTCACTACTGGCCTGGGAAGAAGCTTCGCAGTTCTCTCTGTCACTGCTGTCAAGGATGCAGGTGATGGGTGCGTGACGCACTGTTACATCAGGTATGCATGCATGGATGGATCAGGGAGGTGGAAGAACTCTGGGGTCGACTCTAGGAATTGAATGTGCCAGATGGAAAAACAGGGTGGGAAGTGGTGGAAAAGTAAGTGGTGAAATCTGGACAGATCACTCACGTTGGTGCAGCTGAGCGTGCATACACCTGAGAACTTTTCCTACCATTCCTCCTCCCTCTACTCCCCTCCACCCTCCTCCTCACCACCTCCCAACCCCTCGTCCTCCTCCTTATGCTGCTGTGTAGGTCAGTGGATGCTGGAGCCAGGCGCTCTTGTGCTGGCAGATGGGGGGCTCTGCTGCATCGATGAATTCAGCAGGTCAGGCCTTCCCTCACTCTCTGCTTCACGCTCTCCTTCTTTCTCGCTCACACACTCTCTCTCTCAGACTCTCACACACTCACTCATTTTCACTCACACACTCTCTCACAATCTCCCCCATTCTCCCTCGCAATCTCACTCGCTCTCCCCCGCCGCTGCACTTTTCATCAGTTTGGCGCTTTGTAGCCATGCTCTGGTACCAATGCCACTCCCTCGTTCCATACCCTCTCCACCATTCGTCCTCATCATCCGATGTCCTGCTACATCTCTGCCTCATATCATTCTTGCGTGGTGCGTGTGTGTGTGTGCATGTGTGTGTATGTGGGCATGGCACATGCATGTGTTCATGTGTGTGTGTGTGTGTGATCCAGCATTCAGAAGGATGACCAAGCAGCGGTGCATGAAGCCATGGAGCAGCAGACAATAAGCATTGCTAAGGTCCGCGCCTCCTCCTCTCTCGCCCTCCAGTTTCCACAATTGATCACACCAAACGCTCCTGCTTCTGCTTGTGCTTATGCACCCGAATGCATGTCCTCAAAATTTCATTCAGGGACCCTGGAAAACACGTTTTTCATCTCTCCTTTTATATTCTAACCCATACCATGCACCCTACCCCTCCTCACCTACCCCCTTACTCCCGATTCTGCCCCTGACAGGCTGGCATAGTCACCACTCTACCTTCCCGTTGCAGTGTGTTCGCAGTCACAAATCCCAAGGCCGCATATGACGCTGACACCTGTACGTTCGTCTCTTTGTTAGCACCATCAGTCAAAGCAGCAGTCGTGCATAACCCCATAGCTTTGATGCAACTGATCGCAAACAGAATCGCATTGAATGGCCAGGGCACAGTACTCAGCTCAAACCCTAAACCCGTGGTCCATTTCCCCATCCCAAACCACCCACATCCTTCCACCCTATTCTGACTCCCCTACACCCTCGCCTTCACTCACAACCCCACATTACCCATTCCTCACACTTTCCTTACCCACTACCTTCCTACCTCCCTGCTCCCTGTGCTCCTGTCTCTCTTGCTACACGTGCAGCGCTGGTGGTGAACACAGGGATTGCCAGCCCCCTGCTGAGCCGCTTTGACCTCGTGTTACTGCTGCCCGACACCTCTGAGGCCTCGTGGGATGAGCGCGTGGCTCAACACATCCTTGCTGAGGTATGCTGCACTCTGCACTCTCCACTTTGCCCTCTCCACACTCCACTCTGCACTCAGCACTCTGCACTCAGCACTCTGCACTCAGCACTCTGCACTCTGCACTCTGCACTCTGCACTCTGCACTCTGCACTCAGCACTCAGCACTCTGCACTCTGCACACCACCACTACCTGTCGTCCCAGCCCCAGCCGCCAATGACTATCTGTCCATGACCCACTGCTTCGCTCTTTCCCATTCTCTTTGTCTGCTTCCATTCTTGCTTGCATTGCGCTGCACAGTTTCCTCCTCGTCACCACTGCTTCACCATCTTCCATCCCAATTCTCTCTCTTTCTCTCCCTCTCCTCCCCCACCACAGCACACTGTCGTCTCCTTGACTCCACCCACCGACCTCTGGTCAATTCAAAAGCTTCGCAGGTCCGTCCACTCACTCACCCTATCTCTTCGCTACTTACAGACTTCGTTACTTCACCCGCTTAGCCCCTCCCCAACCGTCTCTCTTTCTCACAGCCTCTGCCCTCCTCCTATCACTCAAGTGGTCGTATCTCCTCCTATCATACCTACACTCTCCACGCACGAATGGCCATGCATCCCATCTCCTCCCCTGACCTTCACCTGACCTTAGCACATCCACTCTCTTGCTTCATCTAACCAATCTTTGCTCCTCAATCCTCTCCCATGTATCCGCTCTGCCGTTTCAATGCTGCTACCCCCATCCACTCCCCAATGCTTCTCAACCTCACACTTCATCCCCGGTCCGGCATGCTTCTTTTCCCCAGCTACATCCGGCGTGTGCGGCAGTCGTTCTCCCCCATGGTATCAGAGGAGGCACAGGCTGTCATCAGTGCCTACTATCGCCAGCAGCGGCGGGACGCAGAGGACAACGCAGGTATGCACTGAGTGGATCGGTCACGTTTCGCTACTGAGAGGTGGGTGTGTAGTGATGAGAGCCGATAGGAAAGGGAGGGAAAGGGGGGTTTGGGTGAGTGGGAATGGGGCTGCTGGGGAGGGAAACGAGAAATTGTTGAAGTAAAGGGAGCACCAGCACCACTGCATCACCACTTCACCACTGTTGCACACATGCTGCCTAGCCTTTGTTGACTGCCATTGCAATATGCCTTTGGCTTTGCCTCTCCGGCTCCCCTACCTTTATGTGCTTGGCTTGATGGCAGCGCGAACAACCCTCCGCATGCTCGAAAGTTGCATACGCATAGCACAAGGTGAGCCCTCTAACTCCCTCTCCTCTCCATCCACTTCGTTTGTATGTTCCAAGTTTCCTGCATGCTCCCATTTCCCCCCCCCCCCCTCCCCCCCCATCTTTCAACCCCGCTCTCCTCCCTCCCTGCTTGTGTACATTTACCCTCTCCACACTCCTCCCACCTGCTCTACCCGCTCTTCGTCCACATCATTCGTCCCACCTCCTTCCATTTCTCCCCGTCTCCCCTGATTACGCACCACTTTTCAGTTATAAATCTTGTGTGGTCCATCTCACCAGCACATGCAAGGCTCTTGTATCGAACGACAGTGCTGCGCCAGGATGCAGTGGTGGCAGTCACAGCCATGGAGTCAATTTCTTACGCACCTTAAAAATAGCAATGTCACTCTTCCCACCCCACCAGCGCATGCAAGGCTCATGTACCGCACGACAGTGCTGCGCCAGGATGCAGTGGTGGCAGTCACAGCCATGGATGCTTCCATGTCCACCTCACGCCTCTTCCCCTCCCATGCCCCCACCAACGCTGCCTTCCCTGACGACCCTGCTGCTGCCTGTAAGCCCTCATGCCCTGCCCTCTCGCCCTCGTCCATGTTGGTCTAGCCTTGTTTGCACACCTTCCTTGGGCTGTGTCAAGTCCATTCGTTGCACTTGTTACAGCACTCGTTCACAACCTCTCCCTGTCGTGCATCCTCACCCGTGTGCATGTGTGTATGCTCCCATACAGTTCATGTGTGCTCGCTTATGTGCTCATATGTGTGCTCATGTGTGTGCTCTTGTGTGTGTTCCGCCCGCAGACTGTGACATGGAAGCAATAGTGCTGCAGCAGCTAGGCCTCTCAAACATAGACTCTGACACACCCACTCAGCCCCCCTTCTCGTCCACCCCTTCAACTGGAGTTCCCCCCAACACTCCCCTCACCGCCAACCAACACCACCCCAACGCTTACTCCATTCCGCGTGCGACGGCACGGGTGGGGTTCACATCAGGCCAAAGGCGCAAGGCCTCAGAAGCAGCAGCAGCAGCAGCAACACCCCCAGCAGCAGCAGCAGAGCCAGGGATCCAGGCAGGAGCACTTAGGCACAGTGTGGGTGGGCCCAGGTTACAGCAGTGCTCGAGAGGGAGAGCCAAGTGGTCAGCACGGCGAGAGCAGGGTGAGGATGAGGGAGGCTTGTAGGTGGGCAGTGCATGTGCAGCGACGACAAGGCAACTGGTCGAGCCTTGCCGAATGAGGGCTACCCGACTGCACTGCAAGGACCAGCAGAATAGCCAATGGAACAAAGAGACGAGTGGTAGCTACATGAAACCTGCACATGGAGAGAGGAGATGTTTGGTGTCGGGGATTTCTAGCATGTCATTCCTACCGTATGTTGAGAATTTGCCGTCGCCCTGTTTCATGCGTCTTTCAGGCTCTTGATTGGCTTCCGCTCTTGTGATGAAGGCTCACCGCAGGGATACATGTTAAATTGTGTATATATGGTAGAGTAGTGCAGGCATGTTGATCCAAGTCATTGTCATTCACAAACGGATAAATGCAGAAAACAATGTGTATCACCACCATCTACCGTATACTTGCATGTACCATAGCATGGTACTGAAACACGGGTGGTGGAAGGTACAGGTCTGACAGTGCACACCCGAACTGAATGCAATGGATGCTAACTGAACAACGCACACGCTCCCTCTCTCTTCTGGTGGGCCGCGGGGCTCGCACACTGGAAGGGCTAAGGATCGAAAGAGGTCCCCCCTTCCGATGGGCGTGCCCCGGGCCCCCCGATGGATGTATATAGAAGGGGACACCTTCTTTATATATCCATCAAAACCCTCTAGACGGACGACGACTGACTCGACGAAGACGGAACTAAGGACATAAGGACATAAGGCAGGGGAACCCCAGCGTTTTCTCAGCAAATTAAAACCCTGCAGTGTACATATTAAAGCTCGTCCTTCATCCCTTGCGCACCTTCCACAGGTGAAGTCAGGCCCATAGACTCCACATCCCCACTCCCACCCCTTCCAAGCGGCAACTCCTGCTTCTGCTGCTGCTTCTGCAGCCGGGTCAGCAGCAGCTGAGCAACGTTTTTCGCAGCCACGGCGGCAGTTTCAAGGGCACTGGCAGCACTCTCAAACGTGCTCGTGTAGTACAGATGGTGACTGTCCAGGAGGAAGGGTGCAAAGGCATCGGGCGGCGCATAGTGCGGGTATGCCGGCCAGTCAATGCTCCTTGTGAACGAGCGATTCCTGGAATGCCAGGGTTTTGCCAGTGGACAGCAAGAAGAAAGGTAACAGTACCACGCACAGGGTCAGGAAACAGCAGGAGAAAGATGAAACAGCCCTAAACGCCCTGTGCCCTGTGCCCTGTGCCCCGTGCCCTGTGTTCAGTGCCCTGTGTCCCATGTCCCGTGCCACGTGCCCTGTGCCCTGTGCCCGTGTCTGACTCTGTGCGTGCAGCAGAGCCTCTCAGAAAGTAGCTGACCTGAAGAGCACGTCGAGGGTGGCATCGGACAAGTGTTGGCGTGAGAGGACCTTGAACACACTGCAGAGGCGCCTGGAAAATCGCCTCACTACTCGCGGATTTTATACCTGAAGAGCACGTCGAGGGTGTCGTCAGACAGGTGCTGCCGTGAGAAGACCTTGAACACGCTGCTGCCATCCGCTGCCCATGGGGCCACTCGGCTGATGCTGCTGAAGGGGATATCCTCGCTCTCCAACGTGCCTATCAGCCCTGGCAGGGACGGTGAGTCTGTTGCTGCAAAGTAGGTCTGGCATGGGGCAGACAGCAGTATTAGGAGTACAGAAGGTTACATGGACGGGTTGGCGGTGCTAGTACTGGGAGGGGCAAGGGAGCGGGAGAAAGGAGAGAGACACTAGAAGCAAATCACCTATGTGTTCCTCTTACGTGGTTGAGTGTGGCGCGCACAAACGTCACGTGTGTGTGCTGGTATGTGCGCAGAGGCAGGACTGGTGGCGCAGGGAGAATAGCAATGCCGTTCTGCTCCATTGGAGTTGCGATAATCACAGCATCACAGCTCACCCCGTCATCACCACCACCATCGGCAGCATCAGCACCATCAGAAGCACCACCAGAAGCAACACTGTCGCCAGCACCATCACCTCCTCCTTCACCTCTACGCTCCCCTCCAGCTGCCTTGCCCTGCTTTCCTTCCTTTGCCACCATATGAAGCACATAACCACCCCCTGCACCCTCCGTGCCCCGTGCTATGCGAGCAACGCGCGAGTGCAGGTGCAGCGATGCGTTTGCCAGGCGGATTGCACCCTCAGCCAGCCGCCAGTTGCCCCCGCGCACTTTCCACAGCTCGCTGCCCGTCCCACACAGCCCCACTGCTCCGGGCAGCCCTGAAATTGTTGCGTTCTGCCCGTACTGCACTCGAGTGATCATCTGGTGGTGCGTGGTTACACAGTGTGGTGCGACGCATGGGATGGACGGAGGGAGTGAGGGAGGGGGCGAGGAAGGAGGAGAGACCATGAAGCAGTGAAGATTGAATTCCAGTAATTGAATTCAATGGAAAAACCGTCACAGCATGCCACGCTATGCCATTTATGGTAAAAGCTCCACCCCATCCCATCCCATCCCATCCCATCCCATCCCATCCCATCCCATCCCATCCCATCCCATCCCACCCTTCCCATCCCTCTCAACGCCACCCAGCAGTCACCGTAACAAGCTCGGTAACGAGCACGGCTGGCAGCCCCTTCTCCAGCAGAGCATCACTCAGCGTCACCCGAGTCAACTCCAGCAGTCCCAGCGACCGCAGCAGCTCCTCAGGCGTCTCAAACGCCTCTCCGCCCTCCCTGCGCTCGTCGTACAGGCGCATCCACCGCGCAAGCATGTCCCCCACAAACGCGCGCATGGCTATCAGTCCCGCCAGCGAGTAGCGCACTGCCATGCGCGCGCCGTTTACCAAGTCCGCCACCCACCGCATCACCGCCCCCTCGCCCAGCCTCCACTCCTGGAACACAAAACCTCCCCCGCTGCACCCGCTGGTCTCGCTGTTAGAGCCGCCGCCGCCGCCGCCGTTGCTGCTGCTGCACTGGCCGGCCCAGATACCAAAGTCCATGTCAGCGGGAGACGCGGTCTCCAGCCCCAGCTGCTCCGCCAGTCGCACCAGGTGCAGGTTCTTCCCGTGGATAATGCTCGCCCCAGCTTCCACCTCCACCACATCCCCCTCCGCCTGCCCCCCCTTTGAATTTTCCCCCAACGGCACCTTCAGCAGCAGCGTCCGCCCGCCCACCCTCCCCGCGCGCTCAAAGACGTGAATGTCCAGTTCGGAAACGGAAGGCTGAACGGCAAATTCAAGAGCGCGGGAGGCATTGCGGAGAAAATACGCGGCCGAGGCGCCGCCAATCCCGGCGCCCACGATGCAGACCTTGAATGGGCTGGCATGCGCCGGCGGCGTCGGAGGATGCGGAGTACTGGCAGAGGCTAGGGGGAATGGGAGAATGATGGAAACGAGGAGGCCAAGGAGAAGAACAAAAGGGAAACAAGAGCGACGATGCAGCCATAGGTGCCACTGTGTGGGAGACATGTTGGCAGGTCAGAGCTTGAATGTGAATGCAGGCAGGAACTCATTCATGCTCGGGGCCAGATTGTCATGGGCAGGGAGAAGGAATCCTGGCATTCAGGATCTGTTATAAACGGCCAGCATATTCTCGCAATCGCCACCATGTTATGGCAATCCAAATAACCCACACTTATGTCGAACTTAGGATAGGGTACTTAATGCTACCTAAATCCCTCATCAGATTCTACCAAAAACCAGCAATTTGGACTGATATTGTGCTTTAAAATTTCAGAAAAAAACAGCGAACCTACTGCCACGTTTTTTTTATTTCAGACGAAAAGTACAAGCAGTTGTTTTGCATCTTGCGTTTGATCTCTAACAAAAAAACAAATCATTCCTGCATTTATGTACGCAAGCATTTTGTAAATAAAGCAATGAAAATACTTCTCCACAAGTGGAATACTATATAGTCTGATCATTGTACAAGAACACGAACAGAGAATGTTGCATCGCGTATGACATTCCCAAGATGGTTTGTTCTCCCGATAATTTCGGACGAAGCAGGATGGACCCTTGAACTTTTTGGCGGGGAGGTAGCACTAGTAAGGAGAAGCGACGATTACGGCAGCTGAGCGAGTAGCTGCGAGGTCTCGCAAGCCCAAGGTCTCGTCTCAGGACCAGCTTTAGGAGGATTCTCAGATACACATTAGTCATAACATTTCACGCCGTTAATTTCCGGTGGCGTCGAAATGTCGAGCGTAAGAACAGCTCCACTACCATCGTGCACACTGCTCCTCGTCTTGCTCTTGCTGTCGTGTAAGCACACACACTCGTTTTCCTGGTTCTCGTCGACTCTTCGCTCGACATCCCCACCAGCACCTTCAACGCATTCAGCCGGACCGCCATCACTTGGAAACGACGGCACACGACAGAATAGCGGCGAACGAACAGATGCGTTAATGGAGCAGCAAGCAGCAGCACGGCGAGGGAGAGAGGAACGAAACGCAGTCGCACCGTTCGACGCGGAGAGTCTGAGCATCACGGCGAGAGGCGGCGAACGGAAAGGCCGGGAGCTGCAGGAGCGCGCAGAGGGGGTTCGGCGCGCGGATGGGAGTGTCGAAGCGTACGAGCCTGGCAAGGGGGAGGGTGACAATTGCTGGGTAACGGCGTATCAGCAGCTAATGGGCTCGTGTAAAGAGATACTCCGTAACGAAGCGTGGAAGGCCCAGCTGGCGCTTAGACTAACCAACTGCTTCCTCGCCTCGTCCGGTCGCGCGCCTGTTGACTGTCGCTCCAGCAGCAGCAGCAAGAAGAGAGGCAGCGGCTTGCAAGTGTACATGCAGGGACGAGCGGAAGGGAGTGAGAAACAGGAGCAGGGGGTGGAAGAGGAGGAATGCATTAAGAGCATGAGCGATCACGAGCACTCGGTTTTCCTGGCGTTTTTCATCGACGCACCCAACATGTGCCATTTCCTACAGTGAGTTTCCACTCCCGAAAGCGACGCCGTCCTAACTGAAACGTGACACACGTGCGTGCGATTCTGGCAGTGGTTGTTATCACCGTCAGTGCGTTTGTGCGACGTTTCAGACAGCTTTTTTCTGCGATTCCCTGTCAACTGTGCCTCGACGTGTGTGTGTATGCGTGTCTCTGCGTGTTCATGGCGATGGCTGATGCAGGAGCGAGCTGTTCAAGAACGAAGTCGAGACGTCCGTTAACTCCCTCAAGGTCAACACAACTAACCCCACTGCCATGTACCTCGCATGAATCTCCTCTAACATTCCTCTTCATTTCCCTTACATTCCCCCTCCCTTCCCCGTCCCGTCCCCTTCCCTTCCCCTTCCCTTCCGCTTCTCTTCCTTGTGTAACCTTTCTCTGGCCTTGTCTTCCTGTCTTCCAACGTCCCTCTGACATTATCATTCTCCGTCCCTCCTGTCTTTCACTATTCTTCCTCCGCGCCACCGCTCCCGCTCTTTTCCCTCAGCGCACGGCGCACTGGTTGGAGGAGCAGCTGGGGGACCTCTCAGGAAACGCAGAGGACATGCAGGCAACGGCGCAGGCCTCGTTGCACCTGCAGCAGCGCATAGCAGAGGAGCAAGGCGCAGTGCAGCAGCAAGTTGTAGCCCTGTCCGAATCCGCTCACCACGCACAGGCAGTTCTGGAGAGCCTCACAGGGCAACAAGCGGCCATGGCGGCTGAAATTACTCAAGGGGTGAGTCACCTGGAGGATCAGGTGTTAGCTGTCGATGCTGCTCTACAGCATTCGCTGCAGCAGCAGCAGGCTGCGGCAGCAGAGCAAGCAGCAGCGGCGCAGCAGATGGAGGTGATTCGGCAGCAGCAGGCGGCGGCACTAGACCAGCACAGGCGCGTGCTGCAGGAGCTGTCGGAGATGGCGAGTGCGGAGCAGCACAGCACGGGGAAATGGCAGGCGGAGATGGCGCAGATTCAGGAGGAGCTGCTAGCGGGGCAGAGGCAAGCAGCGGGCGAGATGAAACGGATCGCAGAGGAGCAAACAGAGGTGGCTGAGCGGCAGAACGAGGTGATGGGGGAGCTGGCAGCGCGTACGGTGGCGTATCATATGAGCTCGCAGCGGTGGCAGGCACGCATGTCGGAGGAGCAGCAGGTGCTGCTGGCGGTGCAGCAGCAGGTTGCAGGGCAGCTGAGTGCTGTGGCTGTGGAGGCGCAGCGGCAGCATAAGGTGCTGGCGACGTGGAATGAGCGCATGGAAGCCACTCAGGAGCAGCTGCTGGGGAACGCTGAGAGAATGCTCGCCGTGCAGGTGATTTGGTGGAGAGGGGTGTGGGTTGGTGCATGAGGGTATGTGGAAGGACGGTGGTTGTGGATTGGATGGTTTGGGGAGAGGGGGGTGTCATGACGATTCAGCTGACACTAATGACGTGTCTTCTACTTGTCAAGCTTTTGAAGCATGACGTCTCTGTTGAGCGTTTCCTCACCTCTGCTTGTGTGTGTACGCGTGTCTCTATGTGTGTGTGTGTGTGTGTGTGTGTGTGTGTGTGTGTGTGTGTGTGTGTGTGTGTGTGTGTGTGTGCGTGCGTGCGTGCGCCTGTGTGTCCGTGTGTGCGTGTGTGTGCGTGCGCGCGAGTGAGTGTTCATGTGTGCGTGCACACCCTTTTATGCATGGCAGAACGACCTGTCACGGAAGCAGGGCAGCATGGTGCGAGCAGTGGAGCAGTTTGTCTCACTCGTGACTGCCATCAGGAGCTACGCCTCCACCATATCCACCTTCCTTCTCTACCTCCTGCTCCTACCCTTCTCACTGCTGCTCACCTGCTCCAACCTCACCAGCCGAGCCCGGCGGCCCCTCCTCGCACGTCAGTTCCCACCCTCTTGCCTTCCTCTATCATCTTCCCCTCGCCCTGACTATCTAGAAAATTCTCTTCCTTTCTTCTCGCTGCCTCCATCTTCTCCCTCTCTTCTCGTCTCTCCTCTTGTCACCATGTTCCTCCATTGTTCCTGACTGTATCTCTTGATGCCGCCATTTATCCAACACCACCTCACATCTTGTTCCCCCCTGCAACATCCTCAGAAAGCACCTGCACATAACCCTTGTCCAAACCCCTAACCTCTTAACCCTTGTCCCGCCCCTCTAACTGCCATTCTCTCGTGATGCAGTGGTGCTGGCAGGTTTGGTGCTGGAGCTCGGGTTGCTCTCAGCCCTCTCCTCCGTTCCTGTGTCTCAAGGCCCCACGCTCAATGTGGTGCGCGGCTTGCTGGCTGGAGCTGCACTGCTTGTGCTCTGCCTCACGCCTCTCTTCCCCATGTAAGTGGTCTGGAAACCTCTCGCACCTGTTCATCAGTAGCACTTATCCTGCCAGTCAATTTGTGTTATCTCCATCCACAATCTCCCCTCTCTCGCACATTCTTTTTTGTCTTCTTGATCAATTTCACACACTCGTAAACTCTTCCACTATTCTCCTCTGCCCTCGCTAATCTCTGTACCTCTGCAATATGTGGTTGTGTGTGTGTGTGTGTGTGTGTGTGTGTGTGTGTTTGTGTGTGTGTGTGTGTGTGTGTGTGTGTGCATACCCCTCCTTCTTTTGCAGGTGGTTCTCCCTGTCATCATCAGCATCACAACCCTACCACTTAGCCTCCATCCCTGCAACCACCTACAACCACACCCCATTCCCAACCGCTTCCCACTTCGTGCCACCACACGCACCACACACAGCACACGCACCACATGCCGGTCTTGCTGCTGCTGCCACGGCCTGCTCCCCCTCCTCCTTCCACCTGCACTGCTCCTGCGCCACTCCCCACCACCCACTTCCCGACAGCTCCTCCCTCCCGCACTGCACTCGCACCCACCTTGCAACAGGCAGCCCCAACAGCCAGGGCACGTCCCTGGGTGCTCCTCAGTGCATGTCTCTTGATGAGGAGGACAGGGAGTATGAGGGGCAGGGGGAGGTAGGCGCAGCAGATGCAGGTGTGCCGGGACGGATATGGGGTGGGGCTGTGGAAGCAGATAAAGATGACAGACTGCCGGATCTTCAGCCGGATAGGCATGCGGCAATGGGGCCAGGGGGTGAAGGGTGGGAGGGTGGGCTTGGGGGTCAGAGTGAGGGGCACCAGCAGCAAAGGGGAAGTGGAAGGGGGAGTGAAGGGGAGGTTGAGCGAGGGGATAGGGTGAGGCGAGGAGCAGTGACGCGGGCAATGGCACGGCAGGTTGTGGAGAGGAGCTTGGCGCGACAAAGGACCCGCATGCCAGCAGCTGCTTCAGGTATGGCAGAGAGTGGGCATGGCCTCATGGATGCATGGAGTAATTGAAGGGTTGATGCTCTGAGCAATCAGTAGGGTGGGGATTGTGCTGAAATGTGATTTTGTTTGATGGATCATGCTGGATTTGTCTTCTCACCTCCTTTTGTGCTTGCTCCCATCCACCCCTTCCATGTGGTACCTGTATTATCTGTATTATGGCCCCGCATCACCAGCAGCCAGGCGTTCACAGGAGAATGTAGCTGATCTTCTGGCCTCATGTGATGCAGCAGAGAGTGATGAAGAGGCGGATCCAGATTATTCGCCACCTGCCCATATCAGCAACATAGAGCCCACCAGGGAGTACTGCCTCAGAAGCAGGAAAGGAGGGTCTAACTGAAGCCTTCCGTCACACCCTCGATCTTTGGTTGGAGTACAGAAGCCTGATAAAGCCGCAGTGATCATGCCAAGGGATTTGGTTTAGATATGGTGCAAGACTCAGAAATGATAGCCAGTTGCTAGTACATTTCAAGATTATCAGAACGGATTGATGTGTAGATATAATCTCTAGCTGCGTTTAGATGTCAAGTATCCATTGTTGTAATACAGGGCCGCACATGCTTTGGCTCTAATTCGCACGGTGAGGCACATGATACGAAGACCGTGTCACAAAAAACTTCCTTTTGGTAATTAATAAATGGCAATTGTCGTAGAAAAAGCCAATGCAGCTGCCGTTGTCCGATAGGAGAGCATGAAATTCTAAAAGAAATTAGGAGGTATAGCAGTGATTTCACATGTTATTATGCGTTACATTGATAGCAACAAGGCGAGGCGAGGCGAGGTAGGGTTGAGTTGAGCGGTGAACTGTAAGGAATTTCGTTAATTCCTTACTGAGGCATCTCTTATGCGTACAATTCCAACTTTCGGAATTCAGGCTCGGTCCGACGACCTCGCCTTCCGAACGTCTCCCGCGTCGCCTTCGGGTTTCCCAACCCCAAACCTGCACTCAACCTTCGTGCGACTCCGCGACCTCGGCCTAGCTAGCTTTGCTATATATTGCCTAGGCCTCGTTGTTTGCTCAGTAGTTGTAATCACTTCCGCGATATTGCATTCTGCGCACTCTTCTTTCATACAACTCATAACACCTGGTATCAGAGCTACTTTCCTAGGTTACCCTCCACTTTCCGGGGTAGTTAGTACAGGGGTGCGATAGGTTTGGTGGGCTGCAAAGCGGTCGGCTGAGAGATAGATACGATTATCTCGCTCCGACTAATAGCGTTTGCGCCTTCATCAAAACCATAAAAATCGTTGTTAACCCGCTGCCCGCTAGGATGAGTCTCCGAAATATGACGCAAGCAGAGTTTGACGTGTTTTTGCAGGACTTTCGGGCGATGCAATCCAACATGCAGACTATGTCTGGCGAGTTGGAGCGCCTGAGGGTGGAAAACGCCGAGCTACGCCAGACGCGAGGTGAAGCGCGTCAGGAGTCGGCCGCCGTGGATGAAGCAAGTAGCAGCTTCGCGCCTAACGACGAGGTCCTTAGCGAGCTACAGAACTCGCTGGACGCTGAAGATGAGTGGACGGCACGGATGCAACAAGCACAAGGGACGCAGGAACAACAGTCACAGCCGCAGCAACAGACACGAGCGGCGCCGAGGCAACAGTCGCAAACTACACCACGTCAGGCAACAGCGACAACCCCGGTGATGGCTTCGATGGCGCCCCCGATGCATGCAGCAGCAACAGTCTCGACAACTGTTAAAATAAAACCGACGAACCCACCCCCGTTCAACCCCAGCGACAAAACCGTCACTGTGTCGGCATGGTTGTTCGGAGTGTCAGAACATATAGCTTGTGCTTATTGTGTAGGCTATAGTGGGGTAGCCCATAAGGGGTACAACCCAATTAGGGTTAGTACTTGTACTCGGCTCATTCATAGTTCATTCATTCTCGTTTCAACCTGCCCGGAGCGCGCTCAGCCCGAGTCGCGCTCCCCTCTCTGACTTCGTCGAGCCGCTTTAGCGGCCCCTGATTCGTCACCCTAGCGACCCCGTCGCCCTACCTACGGCCCCGGCCCCGTCGCCCTACCTGCGCCCCGGCCCCGTCGCCCTACCTACGCCTCGGCCCCGTCGCCCTACCTGCGCCGCGGCCCCGTCGCCCTACCTGCACCCCGGCCCCGTCGCCCTACCTGCGACCCCGGCCCCGTCGCCCCCCTTGCGACCCCGGTCTCGTCGCCCTACTTGCGGCCCGGCCCCGGCCCCGTCGCCCTACCTTCGACCCGGCCCCGTCGCCCTACCTACGGCCCGGCCCCGTCGCCCTACCTACGGCCCGGCCCCGGCCCCGTCGCCCTACCTACGACCCGGCCTCGGCCCCGTCTCCCTACCTACGGCCCGGCCCCGGCCCCGTCGCCCTACCTTCGACCCGGCCCTGTCGCCCTACTTGCGGCCCGGCCCCGGCCCCGTCGCCCTACCTGCGCACCGGCCCCGTCGCCCTACTTTCGACCCGGCCTCGTCGCCCTATCTACGGCCCGGCCCCGGCCCCGTCACCGTACCTACGGCCCGGCCCCGGCCCCATCGCCTTACCTTCGCACCGTCCCCGTCGCCCTACCTTCGACCCGGCCCCTCCGTCCTACCTACGACCCCGCCCGAACGCCTACGCAGCCGAGCCGCCCGCGCCTCTACGCCGCACGAGCCACCCGAGCCGCCCGAGCCGCCCGAGCCGCCCGAGCCGCCTGAGCAGCTGAGGAGCCGAGCCGCGGGTGCCGCCGAGCTGCAGTTGCTGCCGAGCCGCCCGAGCTGCCCGAACCGCCCTGTCTGGTGAGCGCAGCGCCTCTGTCACCGCACTGCCCCTGCTCTACACTTAGCGCTGCTAGTCTACTGCTGTCATGGCTACCCCTAGTGTTCTCACTTTTGACGCTGAGGGTCGGGCCATTGACTTTGACGTCTGGGTAGATGACCTGCAGCTTTTCCTACAGTGCGATAGGGCAGACGGTCTCTCCCTCTTTGACCTCACCTCTGGTGCTTCCCCTGCCCCTGCTGCCGATGCCGACGCCACCGTTCGCTCACAATGGGCCACTCGCGATGCTGCTGCACGTCTTGCTGTGCGTCGCCACCTTCCTACCACTGAGCGCGCGCACTTTAGTCAGTACAAGAGTGCTCAGACCTTGTACGACGCTGTAGTTGCGCGCTACTCTTCCCCTGCCACTGCTGGACTGAGCCGCCACATGCTACCGTACCTCTTCCCTGGCCTTGCTGCCTTTCCCACAGTCGCTGACCTCATTACGCACCTCCGCACTAGTGACACTCGCTACCGCGCTGCGCTTCCTGCTGACTTCTGCGCCAAGAACCCCCCCCCATGTACATCACTCTCTACTACTTAGTTACTCGCCTCCCTGACTCTCTTCGCGTAGTCAGGGACCACTTCCTCTCAGTCTGTCCCACCACTCTCACTGTTGACCTCCTCGAGAAGTCCCTCCTAGCGGCCGAGAAGAGCATAGTCGCTGTAGGAGCCTCTCGTGCTGACCCGCGCACCCCCATCTTTGAGGGGTGTTCCCCCTCCCCCTTTCTGCCCTCCGTTGCCTCTGCTGTTGCGGCCGACCTCCTTGGTCTTGAGTCGGTCGGTGCGGCGTCTGCCCCTAGCGGGAGACGCCGCTCTGGCAAGGGCAAGGGGGGCAGGGGCGCTGGAGGAGCGAGCGGGGGCGGTGGAGGTGGAGGTGGAGGCGGCGGGGGGAGTGGGGGTGGTGGTGGGAGTGGAGGTGGGGGTGGATGTGTCGGTGGCGGCAGTGGAGGCGGAGGCGGCGGCGGCGGTGGCGGTGGGAGCGGAGGTGGCGGAGGTGGTGGCGGTGGAGGAGGCGGCGGAGGCGGCGGTAGTAGGGGAGGCGGCGGAGGCGGCGGGGGTGGCGGTGGAGCTGGTCGCGGATCTACGCAGAGGAGTGGCTCCGGTGGTGGTCCGCGCCAGCAGCAGCAGCGCGGTCGTGAGACCCTGTCCCCTCAGCAGCTCCGTGAGTGGTACACTGCACGCCAGCGGGGTGGGGGTTTTGGTCCGTGCACCTACGTCCTGCGCACCGGCGACCGTGCGGGTGAGCAGTGTGGGGGTGCGCACCCCACCCAGCGCTGCTTTGGCCGCCTGACGGACGCGTGGCGTCACCAGTTCCCGGAGGCCACAGAGATCCCTCGCTGGGGCGAGCTGTCTAAGGCGAGAGTTGCCATCTATGATCTTGATTTTGATGCTATCCTTTCTGCAATATATGCTGTGTCTATTAGTGATGAGGGTGACTGTTACCGGTGTTTCCCGCCTGATCCGGGCATTGAGACTGCTGCTCTAGGTACTGGTGCGGCTGCTGCCCTAGGTGCTTGCGACGCTGCTGCTCTAGGTGCTAGTGCATCTGCGCCCTCAGGTACTGGTGAGTCTGCGCTCTCAGGTACTGCGTCGACTTCGGCCTCCCTCACCTTCACCCTTGACTCTGGGGCTTCTCGCTCCTTCTTTCGGGACCGCACCACACTCACGCCGCTTAGTCGGCCTGTTGCGGTGTCTCTGGCTGACCCCTCTGGGGGTCCTGTTCTGTCTCACTTCTCCACTGTCCTCCCGTGTCCGGCGGCTCCCTCTGGCACCCTGTCTGGTCTCTACCTCCCCTCGTTCTCTACGAACCTGGTGAGTGGTGCTGACCTACATGATGGGGGAGTACACCAGTTCACTCCTGCGCGTCAGCGGGTGACGCACTGCACAGAGGCTAGCACAGGCCGACACCTGGCTACGTTTACCCGTCGGCCGGGGTCGAGCCTGTACACACTGACCAGTGCGTCTCCTCCGGTTGCTGCGTCTGGTAGGGTAGCTGCGTCGGGTCAGGTGTTTGCTGCAGCGTCCAGGTCTGGTCCTGAGTCTGCCCCCTGTTCGTGTCGTCTCCTGTCTCACGAGACTCTCCTTTGGCACCACCGCCTTGGTCACCCCTCTCTGCTTCGGCTCAGAGGCATGGCCTCCCGTCTTCTTGTTTCTGGTCTCCCCCGGTCCCTTCCTCCCCTTCCTCAGGGCCCTGGCCCTACCTGTGTCCCCTGTGTCGAGGGGCGCGAGCGGGCTGCCCCTCACTCCTCCCAGTTTCCTCCGACAGAGGCCCCGTTGCAGACACTTCACATGGACGTGTGGGGCCCTGCCCGCGTCCGTGGACAGGGTCACGAGCGCTACTTCCTGCTCGTTGTTGAGGACTACTCGCGTTACACCGCAGTCTTCCCCTTGCGCAGCAAGGGTGATGTCACTGAGGTGCTGATCGACTAGATCCGCGCAGCTCGTCTCCAGCTCAGGCAGAGCTTTGGCTCGGACTTTCCTGTTCTGCGTCTGCACTCGGACAGAGGCGGAGAGTTTTCTTCTGGCCTTCTGAGAGCCTACTGTCGCGCACGAGGAATCCGT